GTGTGAGGGGTGTGCCGAAATGGGCTCGGTGGGCGCATGCGAAAGCAGCCTCCGGGGCCTTCGGCGGTGGAGCCTCTTGTGGGGCTACGAAACGTGTGAGGGGTGCGTCGGAAATGTTTTGGTGGGCGCATGCGAACGCAGCCAATGGGGCCCGTCGGTGGAGCTCCCTGGGGGGCTACACCACGTGTCCGGGGTGTACGGTGCACCGAAGCAAGCATGCGGAGGGCGGAGGCGGGGATGGGAGGAGGGAGTGGGCAGCTGGAGGAGAACGCGGGGCGCTGTCCACTCAAACCGAGGACCCGACGCCACAGGGTGGTTGGGAACAAAAGCGCGCACGAAGCCGAACCGAGCGCGGGGAGTGGACGTCCGAGCGATGGCAAGCATGGCGCTTCAGTGTTTCCCGGCCTCTTCGGCCCTGCCCCTGGCTGCGCAGGAGGGTCGGCGGGAGGAGGAGCCGCCCGTGCCCGCTGCGGTCGTGCCCGAGCAGGCGCTGCGGGGTCTCCGCGGGGGAGGGGGGGCGGTCGTCGTGAGCGAAATAGTCCGCGGACGACACGTGTGCACCGCACCGCGTTGGCGACTCCCGAGGCGTCGTCGCTCATCGCACCAGGAATGGTGCGGTGCATAGTTTCTCGTCCCCCCGGAGCCGAACTACTATGCATTGTACCGCGTTGGAGCGGAGCCTGAATGAAGCTCAAACATGGTACGGTGTATGGGTGCCAGTCTCGTAGTTCAACATCACCACCCACCAGATCACCCCAACCCAACCCGAAGGCCCCGATTTGCCCTTCATTCCCGGTTTGGGGGGGCGTGGGGGCGCATGGAGAACACATGTGGAACCCGTTCCCCCGAAGACGTCCTGAGGGTGAGTGGCGCGACCCCGTCCGCATGTTGTTCCCAACTCTCCATTGGGTGCTGTCTTGATTAGCGCATCGCGGTTTACACCTCTCGTTTCCCTCCTCTTCTCTTCTTCTCTCTCCTACCTTACCTCCAGCATTCCTCCTATCTCTCTTCTTCTCTCGCCGACCTACCTCCTACCTCCTTACCTCCTACCTGCCTGCCTTCTGCCTACCTGTCGCTGGGCGTCTGCGACGTGTGAAACTGTCACCGTTTTCGAGGGCTGCGTTGGGGTCCAGCGGAGTGGCGTCCCGAGCAGATCCAGGCGGGACTTCAGCCTGTCTCGGGGCTGGCAATTGCGCATTTGTGGCCCCTTTCGTGGGCTCCTGGGAGGTCCAGCGGGGTGGTGCCCGACGCAGATCCAGGCGGGACCTCGCCATGCCTCGGGGGCTGACATCTGCGCAACTGTCGCCACTTTCGTGGGCTGCTGGGAGGTCCAGCGGAGTTGTGCCTCACGCAGATCCAGGCGGGACCTGGCCATGGGGGCTGCGAGCTGTGAAGCGTTTACAGCTTTGGTAGGCTCCTGGGGTGTCTATCGGACTGGTGTCCCGCGCAGATCCCGGCGGGACCCTCGGGGGCTGGCATCTGCGTAACTGTGGCCCCTCGTGGGCCCCTGGGAGGTCCGCCAGAGCGGTGCCCCACGCAGATCTGGGCGGGAATGCGCCCTCCCTCGGGGGTGGCCGCTGGGCAAGACTCGCCATGTTCGCAGGGTCCTGGGAGGGCGAGCGAAGTGGTGTCCCACGCAGGTCCCGGCGGGACCTCGCCCGTCCCTTTGGGGGCCGCGAATTCAGCATTGGCGATGCATGACCGCTCTGGGCGCAGAGGGGGCTGCGTGGCGCCCGCGGCGCTGCAGCTCAGCAGGAAGGGGTACACTCCCAGATCCCACTCTACTTCATAAGCGCCTTCCTACTTCAAGAATCGTTCTGCCTCTGCTGTGTTGTGTTATTCTCTGAATGGACCTGAACCCAATCTACTTGATCCGCGCTCCTACCTTGTATAGTTACATACTTGTCTCCCGACCGACGTGTACAGCGTCGCCCCTCCTTCCTCCTCCTTCTTCCTTGTTCGCTTTCCTCTTGCACCTTCCCCCTCCTGCCGTTGCTGCCGTGTCGACCTGTCGCCCTTCGCCTCCTCCTCCTCCTCCTCCTCCTCCTCCTCTGTCCTACCCCCTTCCCCTTCGAGCCTGTGGCCTTACTACCTCCATCCCGCCTGCTCCCCCTCTTCTTCCTCCTCCTTCTCCTCCTCCTCCTCCTCCTCCTCCGCCTCCTCCTCCTCCTCCTCCTCCCCTGCTCCTCCTGCTCCGCCTCCCCCTGCTACTTCTCCAGCTCATCCGCCACTGACTCTTCCAATATACACAGTTCCCTTGTTCTGCGTGTGCATAACGCGATTGTGTTTTTGATGATTTCCAGGCCTGCTATGTCACTCGTCGGAGGATAGAGAACACGTCGGTCCCATGGGAAGGGATGGGTGGGAGGGGTAGGATTTCAGATCTGGCGCGAGCGCACCCAGCTTGCCCCCCCCCCCCCCCCCCCCCCAGCTTGTCTCTCCCCCCTCCCTCTCGCTCCCCCTCCGTCCCATTCTTTCCTCCCTCACCCTCCGCGTTGCCGTGTTTGACACAAGCATGGGAACCACAAGTGGGAACCTCAATGTCAGACCCCCTCTCGTACAAGCCCCGAAGCACGCAACACCACTCCGAATGCACGAACAATGCACGAATCACCACATCAGATCCACGAGACGTTCGAAGTCCATCCGCACGCGGCCACCACGTGACCGTCGTCGGCACCTCCTGCCCTCCCTTCCCCCGGCCCTCTCCTCTCCCCTCTCTCCCTCCCCTCGCCCCCCGCCCTGTCCCGCAGGCCGCTCCGGCGGTGGCGCCCTGCCAGGAGCTCCTAGGCGACGGGCGCGGGCAGGGGGAGAGCTGCCCGCCTGGCCGGATCGCGGAGCCCCCGGCGCCCCTGCCAGGATCTCTTCGATCCTCCTCGGTCCTCCCAGAATTCCTCCTCTAGGGGGCAAACAAACCTACCTCGCTTTTGACCACCCTCGCTTCCAAGAGATACCAAACGATGCCAAATTGCAGCCTGTACTGGTCAGGCCCCTTGACGAGGAGGCGCGTGGTATGGCTTGGTTTTGCCTGGAAGCGAAAGCGGGGTAGGTAATTCACGCTCTGATCCTCGGCTCCCAGAAAAAACGGCATGAGCATAAACTGTTGGAGGTCCTTTCGCAGCTGGTCGATCTGCGCCAGGTCCTCCTCGCGCGCATCGCGCGCCAGGGAGGGCCCCCCACCCCGCCAAGAGCCAAGAAATCCGCGCGGTCCTCCGAAAGTTTATGCTGATGATGCATATTCTCCTCCTGAGGAGCTCCTCGATCCTGCGAGGTCAGACATCACAGCGGATCGAGGGTGTCTGACCTCGCAGAGGGCCACCGCACCCAGAGGGCAACGCGTGCTGGGCTCCGAGTGGGGGTGGGTGGCACCCTCGTGACCGCACACGGGATCTAGAACGTGGCACCGCGCGTGCAACCTCAACCCGCCTAGGGAGCACCAATCTGCAGGAGCGATGTCTCTCTTTGCGGGACGGCAGCATCGAGGTTCTTGCGCGATGCTTCTCCGCGCGCCCTCTTGCGGTTTCCGGAGGCCTCCGGAGGCGAACACGGGCCTCCAGGATAACGTCGACGAGAATCGCCCCCGAGGCTTCTCGCTGGCTTCGTCGTCCAGGGGCTGCCTCCGTTCAGCAGGTTTGGGGGGGCCGTCGGACGACGGCGCGGGGATGCGCCAGGGTCGGCTTGGGGGGGGGGAGGGGGAGGAGGGGGAGGGGAGGGGAGGGGGAGGAGGGGAGGAGGGGGAGGGGGAGGATGAGGAGGGGAGGGGGAGGGGGAGGAGGAGGAGGAGGAGGAGGAGGAGGAGGAGGAGGAGGAGGAGAGGGAGGAGGAGGAGGAGGAGGAGGAAGGAGGAGGAGGAGGAGGAGGAGGAGGAGGGGGAGGGGGAGGGGGAGGGGGGCGGGGGAGAGGCCCAGGGGCTGACGGCCCGAAGCAACTCCAACAGGGGGTGGGTGGGAATGCTGCATTTGCAGGGGCGCCCTCGAGGGCGCGAAGTTCTGCGCGCTTTCGCGGATCGGCTCCGATTCCTCTTCAGCCTGCTCTTCTCCCCTGGGAGGCGGCGCGGGAGCGCGAAGTTATTCGCTTTTGGCGCTTCGTCCTGCGCGAAGCGCGAAGTTGGGAGCCCCTGATTTGGCACGTAGTGGGGGGGGGTAGTCGTCCTCCCCACTCGTTCTCCCATCCGAATTCTGGCATGCGCAGGATCACGCACCTCTCTGTGGGGGCGCTGACGAAAAGGGCGGGCAGCCATTCCAGACATCGTCGGCTGCGTAGGGAGATGTGTGGGACGAGTTCTTTGCAACCTGTCGGATCACGGTTGCCGTCGGCAGGTCTCTCGAAGCGGAGAGAGGACGAGCAGGAGGAGCAGGAGGATCTAACTCCCTCGTCTTGCACTGCGTGGCTGGGCTTTGAGAACAGAGCTGACGAAGTTCGCGGACAGGTTGTGTGTATTCCCGGCGCGAGCGGCAACGACGATGGGCCGCGTGGTGTCACGAACGAACAACACGCACAAACACACACACACACACCCATAGGGGGGTTGGAGAGGGCTAGTGGTGCGTGTTGTCGGATAGGGGCCCCTCCTCGAACGGGAGCGCCCCCGGGGTCCGACAACCCGCATCCATACCCATAGCCAGTCCTCCTGCCAACGGCCCCCCTATGGGTCTGGGTGTGTGTGTATTGCTCGTTCTTTGTGGTGTGCTGAAGCAGTCTAGGGATCTGGTAGTATTCGCGTTTACTCAGTCTCGCGCCTCACGGACAAAGGAGGATGGCGGGAGAGAGGCGCGGAGGGGCGAGCAGGGAGAAGGCAGTATGGAAAAGCGAAGAGGACGGAGGAGGGACGGTGGGCAGGGCGAGGAGGGAGGGATGACGAAGGAAGGAAATAGAGAAGTCGCCAGTGCAGATGTCGAGTGTGGTGATGACGAGAAGGAGAAAGTATAGCAGTTCGCTGGTTGTATGCTGGCTTCTCTTGCCTCGCCCCAGGCAAGTGGACCTGCGTCGACACCTGGGGCATGGAGAACTTCTTGAAGGCCAGAACCTGAGCTGCTGCGGGCTGTGCGGCTTCGTGGCCCCAGCTGGTCTCTCTGAGCCCCCGATTCCGATGGTTTCCGTGGGTTAGGCATGTGCGTGCAGCTTCTCCTTCTTTGACATGCAGCAGCTGTTTACACTGAGAGCGAGCCATGCCTTTGGGGGGGAACCCTCTTGGGAGGAAGAGGGGGGTCCTCGTCCCATGCGGGGCCGCAGCCATGCGCGCCAGCAGCGGGGGCAGACGCAGTGCTTGCGGGCTGCCCCGCCCCGCCGGTGAGCGCGCCCGAAGGGCCCCGAGGCGGCGCCCCTCGCCGGAGCCGCCCTGGCCCAAGGAGAGAACCGGCTGAGATGGTATAACCGGCCAGCTGGCCGAGGGTGCGCAGGTTCATCCGTGAGGTGTATGGTGGGGTGGGCGCGAACATCTGCAGTCCAATGCCACTTCTTGTTTGCTTGATGCTGCGGTTTGCCCGCCCAGGCTGCGGCCCCCAGGCTGGCATGGAGAAGCGATTGGTGGCACGGTGTTAATCGGATCTTTGCGCGCTCTCTCTCTCTCTCTGCCTCTTCGTCCCCTCCCTTCCCCCCCAGAAACATCAGCCACGCGCAGAGGCACCAGGGGAGGCACCAGAGGCGCCGTCAGGGAGGTCCAACGCCGACAACAACAACAACAGCAGCAGCAGCAACAACAGCAATACCAATAGCAACAATACCACCAACAACACCAACAACAACCACACTAAGTTTGAGACTGTTCGCTCTTATCTGCTCGCGGGCCATTCAACATGTGTATTCCAAAGTCTGGATGCCCGCCCTCGTCGTCTTCGATCGTACCCCCTTGGGTATATATGTTTCTTACCTGCACCGTGTACTTTGTGCAGCCTCTGAGGCAGGGGAAGAGAGGACGGGTGGAAGGAAGGGACAAGGGATAGGGAGGACGATGGAGCACGGGAGACAGAGTAGCAGGAGGGTGGATAGGAGCAGAAAACACGTGGCAGAGCCAGAGGGGCAGATCGGGCGGGTAGACCCTAACGGGCGGGTCGGAAAGGCGGGCTCAGGCGGCTAGGTCGAGCAGGCGGGTTGCTGAAGCGTGTGTCCTGCATGGTTCGCGAGGAGGTCTCGAGAGATTGTGCGATTCTCAAGGGAACCGTGGGACATCCACAACGAGAGCGTGATTCCTGAGAGTCGAGGGCGCGGCGTCTGAACACATTGCGAGGGAATCCCACGCGTGAGCGCGACTCCTTCATGAGGTGTGAGGAAGCCCCACGCGAAAGTACTAGGCGGGAGCCGTTGTTTTTGGTAAGTCGGGGGCAAGGGGCCCAATGTGAGCTGCAAGAATTTCCTGGGGGCAGCACTTTCGCATAGAAGTGTTATGGTTGCCGGAGGGAGGGGGTCAATAATATTCGGTTTTTTGAAATGAGGGTTCAACAGCTCCCGCTTGCTATTGCGTTTTGAATCCTTTGGCGGTCGCGCTTTCGCTCGAGACATCCTCGCAACGTGCCCAGGAGTCGCATTCTGGCTTGGGACCTTTTTTGCATTTTTCAGACGCTGCGCTACCGCCTTCCAGGAAACGCACTATTGCTCGAGATTCCCCGACACTTTCTTGCGGGATCTTGTTTCGCCTGACGGTTCTTCACGCTGTACGAAGTTCGCTTCAGCTGCCAGACCGCCCACCAGGGCCCGCCCGCCCGCCCCGCCCGTTCGGGCCCGCCCCGCCCGACGCGCCCGACGGGGCCCGCCCGCTCGTCCCGCTGGTGGGTCTGCGCTTGCGAATCCTTCTCCTTCTGTTCCCCCCGTCCTGCTAAATCCCACCATCACTCTGGGCATATGTGGTCTTTCAAAGCCTTTCTTCCCTTCGGGGAGGGCTGCCCTCCCCCTCCCCTCCCAGGGGCCCGGACGTGGGGTCGCGAGTCGTCACAAGTTGTTTCGCTCAAGATGGCTCCGAGAGGGCACCCAATGCTCCAAAATGGACTCCAAGGAAGCTCCAGGCAGCGCAAGATCGCTCAAGATGCCCCCACCATGCCTCCAAGATGCCGCAAGAGGGCCACAAGACAGTTACAGTTGCCCTCAAAGATCCCTCAGGACCTCCCCGAGAAGCCCAAACGCATTCAAACATCGAAGGAAATCGTTGATGCTTGCTTTCTCGCCTTTTCGCTTCCGAAGAGTTGTTGAGGCGTCAAGGTGGCCCCGAGATGGCCCAAGAGAATTCCAAGAGGGGCCCAGTTGCCCCCAAGATGGCCCCGAGACCACCCAAGAAGCCCCAAAATGGGGCCATGAGCGTCCCAAGGTGATATTTCGATGGCCCAGAAGCGGGGGCTAAACGTTAGTACCCCGCCTTTTTTCGCCAATGCCTTCCACGACAGCCCCAAGAGGCCCTCCAGGGCATCCAAGAGGCCCCCGAGAGAGCCCCAAGAGAGCTCGAAGAGGGTCCCGAAAGCGCCCCAAGAGCGCTCCGATACGCCCCAACAGAGATGCAAGATAACCCCAAGACCCCTCCAAAGAGCCTTAAGAGGGCACCGAACCCCAAGATGGCGCAAAAGAACTCCGAGAGGGGCCCAAGAGGGCACCAAAACGGCCCCAAGACCGCCCAGGATCGCCCCAAGAGGGGCCCACGAGCTCTCAAGGTCAGGGTCTGTGAATGTGCTGGTGGGGATACTTTTTGGTCAACGGCCTCGTGAAACGGCTCAAAAGGTGTCCAAACTCTAGCCGGGCCACGACTAGGCAGCGAAAAGCGGAACGCAAATTGGTGGGGATATTTTTTTTTGGTCGGCTCCCTGGCGAAGGTCAAGAAGCGGGGCAAATTGGTGGGGATACTTTTTTGGTCGGCGGCTCCAGGACGAAGGTCAAGAAGCGGGGCAAGGTTCGGGGCTCTGAACGAAGATAATTGGCCGCATTGGCTCATAGGCCGCAGTGGCGAGTGCACATGCCAGGGACAAAATGACCCTCATTAAGAGGTGACCGGCTCAGACATCCCAGCAGGTGGGGACGCAGAGGCGCGGCGACCGGCGGCGGAACGGGGGGGAGAAGACGCCCTTTCGGCGCCAAGCTCCAGCCGAACCACACACGGGGGCAAGAGAGGGGGGAGAGAGCGAACACGAAGAGGCAGAAAGGGGGGAGAGAGCGAGCGCGAGCGACTAACTCAGACTACTGTAGCACCCCAGGTGAACGATGGTGCGGCAAAAGAGGCCTGACACGTCAAGGCTCACTGGAGCTAAGGTTTGGCTGGACCGCGTCAGGTCCATCCAGTAGAGAAGGACCACTGGTGTGCGCTCACGAGGCTGAGCCACCTCCAGCCGGTAGCCAATACGAGCACATCGTCTCCGACTCACGCAGTACGGGGGCGCAACGATGCAAGGTACTGACAAGGGCTGGTAGCCGGGGCTGCTCTGAAGAGAGCGACCACGAACTGCAGAAGGCTGAACCACTCAATGCAGGGCCGCTCACTTGCAAAGGTGTGGCTGATCCACGCCAGAGCGCCATCCAGTAGAGAAAGACCACGGTGTGCGCTCACGAGGCTGAGCCACCTCCAGCCGGTAGCCAGTGCGTGCACATCGTTTCCGACTCACGCAAACGATGTGCATTGGTGGGGATACGCGAAGCGTAAAGAATATTGTTCGTCTTCGGTTATCCCGTCACCCTCGTGCCCCCCTCCCCTCGTCAGTCCCTCCTGCCTTCCTCGCTGTCTCCCTCCTAGTTAGGGGGTCCGCCTCCTAGTTCTCCTGCTCTCCGGCCTCCTCCTAGTTAGGGGGTCCGTGACAACGACACGTGGCAGGGTAGGATGTCGAACACGGAGAGGGTGGGCATGGAGGGGTTGGGGGGGGTACACGTTTGAGTGGTCACGCGAGCAACAAAGAGCGAATCGTTTGAATCTGATGGTGCTTCCATCCATGTATAGGAGGAACACATGTTGCGGATCGGCTTTCGATTGACGTTGTTCTGGCTCCCAATTCACTTGCACCTGGCAAAGCCCCAAGCAGTGGATGATTCGAAAATTGATACTATGGATCTTGAGATCGATGATGAGATTGATGGTGGATTCGGTAGTGAGGAGGATTGTAGGGTCGATCGTGAGACCGAGAGTGGAATCGATTCAATGAGATCGATTGTGAGGTCGATCGCGGGATCGCTCATGCGATCTCTGTTGAGATCGCTTGCGGGATTGATAGTGGCATCGATCGTGAGATCGATGGTGAAATCGATCGAGAAGTCCGTAATGAGATCGATGGTGATATTGATCGATAAGAAAATCGACCAGGAACCCGGGAACCCGGGAACCTCGCCGCCACGCCCTCCGAAATCGGTCCGGAACCGGGAACCTGGAACCCAGGAACCCAGTTTGCCACCAAAATCGGCGGGGACATTTCGCCAAATCTTTCAACATCCTTTAGGACCCCTTCAGTGCAAGCATCGATTGGGGAATAGCTGCTATGCTGAAGCTGCGATCGGAACATTTTCAGCAGGCTTGAAAGACCGCGAGAGGATCCCCCCCCCGACAGCATGTGCGCTTTTCAGTTGAAATGCCTCTCCCGGGCGTGCACCCTGTGTTATGCAAGTGGAAGCTTTGAGCCTCAGAGTGTGCCCTCGGCCCCAGGTTTACGACGACAGCGGTTCCCACCCGACAGTTGTTCAGAATGTATTCGAAATCGCGTTCTCGTGTTGGATTACCTTTGGCAAGTCATGGAGGACTCGCGCTTTCGCGCGGGATCCCTCGCAAACGATAGCGGCGCCGCACCCTCGACACCCTTAGGAATCACGCTCTTGCGCTGGGCTTCCTCGCCACATGCTTCGGAAATTGCGCTATCGCTCAAGACCCCCTGGCTAGCCATGCTGCACCGATGCGTCAGCGACCCGCCCGCTCGACCTGGCCGTCTTGGCCCAGCCGCCCGACCCACCCGTCAGGGTCCGGCCGCCCGCGCCGCCCGCCTGTTTCTGCAATCCTTCAGGAGGGAAAAAAACACACAGACACAATTAATCCTCGATTTCCAAGAAAATATGGGAAGCGGGCGGGAAGACAGAAACCCCGAAAATATGTGAAAATATAGGGGATCTTTTTATTTGTGTGTATTTATTTGTGTGTCCTGGGGCCCCTTTAATCCTGGCCAGCCTCCTGCTAGTCTCTCTCTCTCGCTCCTTGCTTCTGGCTCCCCCCTTGTCCCTGCCATCCTCCCTCCCTTCGCCTATGTCAGGTGCTGCGCCAGGCTGGACCTGAACGGTGGTTTGCGTCTTCGTGGGCCGTGTTCGTTTCGATGTCGCTTTTGCGGTAGAGGTGGATTGAGTACGAAACGAGGGAAAACGAACTCAAAACGAGAACGAAAAGCTCGGTTTAGGTTCAGCCCCGACGTTGCAGGTGAGGAAGGTATCCCCCCAAGGTGGCCGCGATCGAAGACGAAAATAGTGGGTACAGGGAGATGTTTAATACATGACTTGCGCGCGCGGAGGGGATCATGCTGCCTAGTCCGCGAGCATGTATTACTATTCCAGTGTATTCCCGTGCGCGCGCGCCGGGGCTTGGTTTTCCTACTCTTCGAGCATGTATTTCAGCGCAGTTGCTCATCGGAGGCAGTGAGCGACCATGTTGCTTCATCGTCCGCGCACGGGTGCGTTTTGATTAGTCTTCGGGCATGTTCTTAAACATCGTATGCATTCTGGCGCGCGCGGGAGATGCAATTTTTCGTAGTCTACGACTATGTATAATAAACGTCCCGTGTGATAGAAATCCCATGTAACAAAACCTCCCTGTATCGAGGGCTTGGGATTTGCAAGTTGCATGCCGTGCCCAGAAGCACCGCACCGCGCTGACAGCAAAAGGTCGCGGGGGAGCCTTGCATTAGATAGAGGGAATCTGGGAGAGGCAGGCGTAGGAGGAGGAGGAGGAAGAGGAGGAGGAGGAGGAAGACGAGGAGGAGGAAGAGAAGGTTGCCCCCTGGAGGCCTCCTGCGGGCCCTCTCGGGCCTCTTGGTAGCCCCCTAGGGCCATCTTGGACTCATCTCGGACCTGACCGGGGCGATGTGGGGCCATCTCGGTAGTCTTGGAAGGCGTCTTGAACCATCTTGGAGGCCGTACGGGGCCACCTCAGCCATTTAGGGGTCGGCAAATAACACTTGGAGACGATGGTACGCCAAGTACCCATCCGGCAGGCCAGGGGGCGGATCGAAGACGCCCCCTGCCCCTCTGGACACTCCTATGAGGTGCAAAGTCGAGCCATCGGGGTCGACCTGGGACTCTCTTGGATCTTGGGATGCTTTTCGGACCGTCTGGCGCATTCCGGGACCGTCCTGGGGGACCATTGGGCCTTACTTGGAACCGTTAGTGGCTCTTCAGGGCCGTCATGATCTCATGTGACTCTCTCGGGCAGTATTGGAGCCCCTTTTTGCCGTCTTGTGGACCCCGTGGGCCGTCTTGGAGTCGTCTTGCAGCCGTTTGGGGTCGTCTGGGAGCCTTCTTTTGGGCTTCCTGGGTGGTCTTGGGGCCGACTTGGGCTTTCGGAAGCCCAACAAGGCGCCGGAACGCGAAAACGAATGACACACCTCATTGCGTAATCAATGATGTCGGCCTCCTGGGGGCCTCCTTCGTGGATGTGGGGTTGGAGCAACTTGGAGCGTCTTGGTGGCCTCGTTGGCAGTCGTGAGGCCATCTCTGGCCGTCTTGGGTCCATCATAGGCCATCTTTAGGGGCAACTGTCATTTTGGATTGTATTGTGGCCATCTTGGCCGTCTTGGAGGCGGGTCACCTAGACTTTGAGGTGTCTTTGTTCTTGCAATTCTGGGTAACTTCTGGGATGCGCCGGAAGCAATTCGATTTGTTTTGGCAAGCCGCAGGGGGCGATTGGTACGAGGACTCCTACGGCGAGTCACCGCCTCTCCATGCCGTTCTAGAAGCGCTGATGTAGCCAAACGTTGGGCCACGGCTTAGTCAAGCTATTGGACTATGGGTTCCCCTGGCCGGTCTAGAAAACTTTGGAACATTTGGGAGAGGAGAGAGAAAGGAGGAGGAAGGGATGAGGCGGAACAAGAGGAGGCCTCCTGAGGGCCTCTGGTGGGCCTCCTCGGGGCTGTTGGCTGCCTTTCCAGGCCGTCTTCAGGTCCACTGAGTCCTTGAGGCCATCTTGTGTGCCTCACTGGGTCGTCGTGGGGCTTTCTTGGGGTGCTTTAGGGCCGCTTTGAAGGTCTTTGGGTCCGTCTTGTGGTCCTCTTCGGGCCGTCTTAGGGGCCACTTGGGCCGTCTTGCGATTCTCTTGGCCCGTCTTCGGGTCCTCTCTGTTATTCCCAAACCAGTGTTTGCACTTGAGGGTCTTGATTCGCTTGCTTAAGTAATTGGATGGGCTCGCAGGGTTTTCGCCAAGTTGCCGCCCCGTGCCGCCTCGTGGGCGCCTCGTTGGCGCCCCGTGCGCTGGGTGGGTTCGCCGAGGTTGCCACACGTTGCCCCCTCGTTGGCGCCTCGTGGGCGCCCCGTGCGTCGGGTGGTTTTGCCGAGGTGGCACCACGTTGCCCCCTCGTTGGCGCCTCGTGTGCCCCTCGTGGGCGCCCCGTGCGCTGGGTGGGTTTCCCGAGGTTGCGCCGCGTTGCCGCACCCTCCGCCGTGTGGGCGCATCGCGGTCGCCCCGTCCTCTGAGTTTAAGCAGCACAGCTTGCACCACATAGCGCAGCTTGCAGGCCATAGTTTATATCGGACCGTGTACACCCTATTGCGTTCACATGCAGCTCGCACCGCATGGCTTACACGGCATTGCTTACACAGCATAGCTTATACCATATACTTGCCACACCCATAGTCCATTCAGACAGCTTACACGACATAGTGCTCACAGCATAGTTTGCACCGTTTAGTTTTCGCCCCCTCAGTGGCATCGTTTGGCTTCCACGCTGGCCTCTGGCCTATGTCTCCTTGGCCTACGTCTTCTCCTTAACTTCTCCTACACCTTCGCCTTCGACTCCTCTTCCAGGTTTCAGCTGCCCCTCCGCCATCTCTCCCTCTCTCTCTCTCCTTCGCTTCCCCCCCCGTCACGACCCCCTCAGGCCCAGAAGCGGTCCTGGGCCGAGCGCAAACTCGCCATGAGCGCGAGGTGGCCCGATTGGGAGTTCAAGAAGGAGGGCGAGGAGATCGTCTTCCTAAATTTCACGCAGATGGGGCTGCTGACTGAGCGAATCGTGATCGGGCGCGACAGAGGAGGATAAGAGGATGGTGAGGTCGAGCAGGAGGTGGACGAGTCTGTGGAGCAAGAGTAGGGCAAGGAGGAGGAGGAGGAGGAGGAGGTGGAGGTCGAGGAGCGGGCGGGCACCGAAGGCGGAGCGGATGCGGTCTGGGAGGATCGAACCGCAGCCCCGTCGTCTGCCAGTTCTCTCGCCGTGTCTTTCTGCTGCCTGTGATCTCCCTCAATTCGCCTTCGTGCCTCGATTCGCCTTCGTGCCTCAATTCGCCTTCGTGCCTAGGCTTAGACGCTCTGGCACGTGCTTGTGTACATTCGCGCGGCCGCCGATCTGTTAGCTCAGATGCACTACCTGCCGGATCACATGACGCTCACCACCAGCAGCAGCAGCAGCACCACCACCCACACCACCACCACCACCACCGCCACCACCACCACCGCAACCACCACCACCATCACCACCACCACCACCACCACCACCACCACCACCACCACCACCACCACCACCACCACCTCCACCACCATCACCAGCACCACCACCACCACCATCACCACCACCACCACCACCACCACCACCAACACCTCCTACTCTCTCGTGGTACGGTCCTGACGGCGAACATGGCCCAGTCGGTGGCCTGCGTGTGTCTTCAAAAGGGCAAATCTACGCAGCAGCAGAAGAAGCAATGTCGTGGTCACGCCGCATGCAGGACCCATCATATCCAACTCTGGAAACCACGACCTATCATCATCAGACAGCCGATCTCTTCATGATCCTGGCAGGTTAGGGGCACCTGGAATCCACGGGATCGCTATATAATTACCTCAGGTAACCGTTATTTGTAGTGGGCCATGCCATCAGACCCACCACGCCCAATACAAAACCCCTTATCCTCGATTTGAAAGCGAGCCGAAGGGCAGCCATCCGTGGACAGTTCCCTCGTAATCCACTTGACAAGGCGGATGTAGGTTGCTTGTTCGCTCGCCCTGAACCGCCCACGACAGCTGACCATGCGCGCATAGTTCGCATCACTCGGCCACCTTTCAACTCTACGGGGGGTAGTAATGACGGCGTTGATATCCCACGGCCAATCTGAATTCGTGACCCAATGATTCCTCATCCAATGCCTCACCGTAGCCTGTAAGTGCAACAGGGGGGAGCCCGGTGCGCGCCGCCATCGAAAGTGCGTGCGGATGTTGGCCTGGATCGTGGGATGGGGTCACCTGGTGCAGGAAGCCAGGATACAGTCGGGGCCCTGAAGAAGGAACCCTTTTCGTTGGGTAGGGGCTCCGTGTTCCTTGACTGCTTCACAGTTTGCCTTGGGTTTTCCTTTGGTTTCCGATGGGAAATCGGAGTTTGACTTGTGGGAAAAAGGGGGCCCGTTCCTTATTTATCGTTCCTTAGGCCAACGCCCCGACTGCATCTGCTTTCTCGACTGTAGTACGCCGTATCATCAAGCTTTGCCACCACGGGGAGGTGACGACACTTCACCAACTCATCACCAAGTGAGTTGGTTCTCGCTCGGGGATGCAAGGACGTGGCAAAGGTTCTCCAGGACGGCCGCCCTGATATCAGACGACGTGTTGGAGCGACTCCGTCTTGAGGATCGGGTGAGTTTGAGTACGGCCCCGCCCCCCGCCTTCCGCGGCCGCTTCCCGCGCAGCGCGCTGTCGTGCGACTCGGAAGTTCCCTCTGCCTCGAGCCCGGTTGACCCATCGCCGGGCCCGGCCGGGTGCAGCAGTCTGCTCCAGATTTCGTAATAACAGGGAGGGGGTCTGGACCCTCCAAGACGAGCCATTTCAGACCTCCCCTCGTGGGAGAACCCTCCAAGACATCGTCCCCAGACCCCCCAGGCCCTCCAAGAAATCCTGGAAGAGACCCCCCCCCCGAAATCAGACCCCCTTCCCTTTATTACGAAATCTGGAGTATCCTATGAGTTCTTCTGTTAGTGGAGGCGGCATCGATGCTGAAGTGTCCCTGCCCCGCGGAAGTGTCCCCTTCCCGGCACCTCCTTGTCTGCGAGCCTCTGTCGAGGCGTCGGGTGGCTGGGGCATTTTCTGCCGGCGTTGGTGGCCTTTGCATGCGTGTCCTGGCTGTCGACCGGAGCTGCCTGGAAGGCCCAGGACCCAATAGATCGCACAATTCCCCCCTCCCAGTGACGCCGTGCTGCTGTGCCTTGAGGCGTGGCGGAGCCACTGACGCCTCCGACTTGGCGCTATACTTGCGAGCGGGTCTGCCGCCGTTCTCTCTCGCTTGCGTCGCCGAGTTCTCTCTGCCGCCGCCCGGTGGGGCCCGTGGCGCCGCACCCCGCCCCGCCCCCCCCCCGCGTCGAAACCCCGTCGCCACGTGCTGGAAGGGGGGGGGGGGCTTCCGCGGGGGAGGCGCCTTCAGTCGGGCTGGCCCCCGCTCCGCCAGCGCGGGGGTTCCGCAGCCAGTCGCCCCCGCGCCCTGGCCCGCGCCGCAGGTTCGCGCAGAGGTTCAGAACACCTGGTTTTGCTTGGTCGCCGCCGTGCAGGCTCTCGCAGGAACTCCAGGCCTCCCTGTATCCCCGTATGTCTTTTGGCATGCCATTTCCGGAACGAGGGTCTGCTGGCAGCTTGTTGGATCTTGTGTGCTTCCGGGGCTGTGGGGTGGGTGGGGGGGGGCGTGGCGGTTGCCTTGTGCGCTCCCTTGCCGCAGCCGGTTCTCCTTTGGTGCTGCTGCTCCGCTCCCCTCCCGCTGTGCTCCCCGTCAGCTGCTGCTCCGCCGTGCCCGCGCCCCTGCTGGTGGCAGCGGTGGGGCGGGCCCTGTCGCCTGGCTGCGGGTGGGACGCCTCGCCGGTCTCGCGGTGGCCTGGGCCTTTGTGGGCCCCGGAAACGGCAGGGCCGTTTTTTCACCGTTTCAAAAAACAAATGTCCCTTGGCAACAAAAACGGAGACCGGAAACGGCAAAAGAACGGCTCCAGGATTGGACCCGGAGCCGGAACCGGTCAAAAAACGGCGACGGAATTGGTAACAAAAACGGCGTCGGAACCGGCGACCAAATCAGCAAAACGGAACCGGTAGAAAAACGGCCTTGCCGTTTCCAGGGCCCACTAATCGGCGGCGGGCGCGGGGGGTAAATGAGAAGGCCCCTGGACTTCTAAGAAGTCCCGCGGCCTTCTGAGAAGGCCTTCTCCTTCTCATTTCCCCCTTGGGCTCGTCGCCTAACTAAGGCCTGGGCAGATCCCTGGTCTCGTGTCGCCCGTGCGCCCAGGGAGCGCGCGGCCGAACCACCGAGTGCCCTGCCGCCGCCCGCCGCCCCGCGTGCTCCTCCTGCGTCTCCCCTGCTGCCTGCGCGTGCCCGCCCGCGGGCTGCGCGCCACCGCTCAGGAGGGAAACAAAACAGACAAAATGAATCGTCGATCTCCCAGAAAATATGGAAAAATATGGCACATGGGGGCGAAGACAAAAACCCAGAACATATTGGAAAATATGGGGATGTTGTTATTTGGGTGTATTTATTTGTGTGTCCTGGGGCCCCTTCAACCGCGGGCTCATCGCAGATTGACGAAGGCGTGCGCGATGAAAAAGACTCTCCCGTGCTCCCTCGGGCTCGCGCTCCGCTTCGGCGTCGCCGCCTCGCGCTCCGTCTGGGCCTTCAGGGCTGCAGCCTCCTCCAGTGAGGGGCACCAGGTTCCACGCCGACGCGCCTCTCCTGCCCCTCGTTCCCTCCCTGGTTCGCCACGTCCCCGCCCCTGCTTCGTCGCCCACCGCTCCCGCCGTGTCCGTGTATACACCTTAGGCGATGCTTAAGAAAACTTACAATTTGAGCCAGAGTCTCGATTATTCTTAATGTTTCAATGTAACTCCTAAGATTTTAATAGACATGTTGGGTTTTTATTCAAGTTCTGAGACTATGAATTTCTTAACCCATGATTTCTTAAGCATTTCGCAGGGTGTACTGTTCCTTCTTCCCATATCGGCCCCTTCTATGTTTTTTCGAGGGCAAACCTCAGCGGCGGGGCTGTGGCGTTCCAGTGGTTCGGACTAGCGGGCGCCTTGGCGGAGAGACGGAGCTGCAACCGCCAGAACCCTGGCACGCAGCGGAGAGAAGTCCTCCTTCTCCCCCTCTTCGCCCCCCCCTCCCCCTGCAGAATTCGCAGGCGTGAGTACGACAGCATTGACGGTCAGAAGAACCAGTGGAAGGCGTCGGACCTCTCCCGCTTCCCTTTCCTGCCATCCGCAGTGCCACGCGCCCCCCCCCTTTTGGGCCCTCCCCCGTCCCGCTGTCCCCCGCGCCCCCGCCCCCGTCATCCCTTCCTCCCATCCCTGCCACCCCGCCCTTCCCTCACCCTGAGGAGCGCCAACGATGCACTCCTCCTTTCCTGGCCAGGCTGATCGTGGACGCAAGATCTCTGCTTGTGCGCGTGTGTGTTTGTGTACGTGTGCGTTCTTTGTGCGTGTATGCGTGTGCGTGAAATTCTTTTTTGGCATAGCGGAGAGGGCGTGCACACTGGTTTGGGGCCCAGTACGGGCAGGATCGGTGTAGGAGAAGGGGGGGGGATTGTGAGGGAGGGAGGGAGCAAGACGAGGAGGGGAGAGAGGAGGGAAGAGGAGGCGGACGGAGGACGAGGAGGACGAGGAGGACGAGGAGGACGAGGGAGTAGAATGAGGAGGAGGAGGAGGAGGAGGAGGAGGAGGAGGAGGAGGAGGAGGAAGGGGAGCAAGAGGAGGACGAGGAAGAGGAGAAAGAGAAGGAAGAGGGAGGAAGTAGGATGGTGGAGGAGGGGGAGGAAAGGGGAGGAGGAGGAGGAGGAGGAGGAGGAGGAGGAGGAGGAGGGCGATGATGAGGAAAGGAGAGGTGGGATGTTGAGGAGGAGCAGGATGTGGACGACGGCGATTGAGACAGCGTTGGCGGCGACGACGACGTCGACGACGTCGGCGACGATGTCGTGGCCGACAAAGGCGACCACGACGTACGACGCACGACGACGAACGACGAAGGACGTCGATGACGATCACGGAGCACGACAACAACGATTGCCTCTGGCAGTACCTGATGGTGCCTTGATGATGGTCGGAGTCCCCCCGAGTCCTCCTGAGGCGTCCGGAGGCCCCCAAGCAGGTGCACCCTGGCATTGCAGTTCTCGAGCCTCGGGCGAGCGACGCCGTGCATCGTCGGCGGCGGCGACGGCGGCAACGCCGCACGACGTCTCCAGTCAAAGCGCATACACCTCAGGCGATGCTCAAGAAAACTTAAGTTTTCGGCCAGAGTCTCGATTATTCTTAATTCTTCAATGTGAATCCTAAGATTTGAATGGGAATTTTTGGGTTTTTATGAAAGTTCTGAGACTATGAATTTCTTAACCCATGATTTCTAAAGCAATTCGCAGGGTGTAGCATGGATGAGCCGCTCTCCGAACCCCTCCTGCATCCTTGCCCCGAGGGTCGGCAGCTCTCGCTCGCCAGCCCCCTGCCCTGTGGTCCGCGGCGCCCGGCGCCCACGGGCTTGGGGGGAGAGCCCGCACGCCCGCCGACGTGATCGGAGGCAGCGGCAGGCGCCCGCTCTCTCACGGCTCGGCGGTCGGGGCCTGGGAACTCCTCGTGCAGGCGCTCGACGACACCGCCTCCTCCTCCTCCCCCTCCCCCTCCCCCTCCTCCTCCTCCTCCCCCTCCTCCTCCTCCTCCTCCTTCTCCTCCCCCTCCTCCTCCTCCCCCTCCCCCTCCTCCTCCCCCTCGTCCTCCCCAGCGAGGGGGAGGGCGCGGGGAGCGCGGGGAACGCGCTTGCAGCGGTCGGCAGGGCTCCTCCTCCAACGGTGCACGGTGACAGCAGGCGGCTGCAGAACAGAGCTCGCTCTCTTTGAAAGCGGAGGACCCCCCGTCTTCTCGCCCGCCCTCTCCTCGTCGACCGGGCTCTGGGTGCCCCCTTTGCTCCCGCAGGAGCGCGCGGGCTGTCTAGGGTCTATCGCCGATCTATCGGCGTCCGGCTCGCCGATTCCATGTCATTGTCCCTCCCCCTGTGCCCTTGGCATCGCTCGGACGTGTGCATTTTTTCTCGGCGGGGACCATCGAGGAGCATCTTGGCGCCTTGCGCGAGAAACCAGGCGTACGACATCAGAACATTCATGAGGAATGGACGTCCGAGCGATGGCGAGTGCCTGCCCCCCTCTGCCGTCCGCCGTCAGGTGAACGCCTCGTGGTCCCCCACCGAGACGGGCGGGTGCCTCCTGCAGGAGCGCGCCGGTGCCCAGGAGATCATTTCACGCGAGTTTTTATTATGAATGGTTGCTCTCGTTGGTATTATCCTCGCCCTTCTGCTTGTTCCGTACGCTTACAAGTCGTGTCTATTTGATGTGTTCTTGTAGTCGATATTCGTACGTGATGATTGTTATCATTATTATTATTCTCTGGGGAGGGAGGCGACCGAGGAGGTCAGCCTGCCCTGAAGCAAGCGGGTTCTGCGGGACAAGGGTCCTCTGGGGTTCGGCCGCTCTCGGTGTCAGGATGCAGAGCGGCCCCCCGGGGAAGGCCCCTGGGGTAATGAGCTTGTCTTCCACCACCACCGCCATAAGTTGGAGGGGGGAAGGGGGAGGAGGAGGAGGAGGAGGAGGGGGAGGAGGAGGAGGAGGGAGGAGGAGGAGGAGGAGGAGGAGGAGGAGGAGGGGAGGAGGAGGAGGAGGACCCCCCGCTCCAACTTCTGGTGGTGGTGGTGGTGGAAAACACGCCCGTCATGGGGGTCCAGGACCCGCTCCTCGGCGCCCGCCCGCTTCGTGGCAGCCAGCGGGGCTGCAGGGGGGTACTCCCGCGACGGGACACTGCGGGCACCCGCCGAAGGCTGCCTCCTGGAGTGCAGGGCCCCTGTCGGGCGCCGCGGCGCTGCCCGCATCGGGGAGGGTCGGGGTTCGCCGGGTCGCTGGCCACAGTAGCTTGGCATCGCTCGGACGTGTGCGTTTTTTCCTCGGCGAGGACCATCGAGGAGCATCCCTGATCGTTTCGCGACAATTTTTCGTGCGTGGTTTTTAAAACCACGCACGAAACCGACAAAAAGCACAGGGAATGGACGTCCGAGCGATGGCCAGAGTAGTTGCACCCGCTAGTGGGGTCCCCGCTAGGGGGGCTGAGAGGCGGGGAGAGCGGGGTTCGAGGATCATCGAGGATCGAGCCTCGGTCACCGAGGTTTGAAGGTCGAGGCTTTGGGCCGTTCTCGGCTCTTCTTTGGTCCTCCTGGAGGCCCCGCCTCGCCGCGGCGGGAGTCCCCTTCGCGGCTCGGAAGGCTGACGTACGCCATGCCGCCGACCCCGAGGCGAAGCGTCGGGGGTGGACAGACCTCCTACCCTGACACGTCGATTAAGGAATTGGCCGTTTTCGTTTCGCGAGGGGGCGTCGCGGCCGTCATGTTTGCGGGTCCAGGGTCCGTCGGTTTCGGTGCCAGGCCGTTTTCACTAAGGGGAGGTTTACTAAAGGGAGGTCTGTCCACCGCCGGAAGCGGGGAGCTCATGGGCGCTGCTGGGGCGAGGCGGGCCTCGAGGAGGCCTCGTGGGCCCACCTCGGGGCTGCACGGAGCCTTCCTGGGGCCATCTTTAGCTTCTGGGCCCCTTCCCTTGCTCCCTCTTGAGCCCCTCCCGGGGCCGTCCGGGGCCGCCTTGGACCCTTTTAGGGGGGCCTCTTGTGCAGGTTCTCGGAGTTCTGTGGGACCGTTTGGGAGGCCGTCTTGGGCGCTCTTGGGGCATCATTGGGCCGTCGTGGGGCCATCTTGGGGACCTCTTGGGCTGTCTTGGCTTGTCGCAAGCTCGAAAGGACGAGAGAACGTCGAGATCATCCAAAAGCCAATGGACCACTTATGTGTTTTCGCCTCTTCAAGCCTCTGGGTGCAGCGTTCGGCTCCCAAGAGGCGCGGCGGGGCGCGGCGTGGCGGGGCAGGCCCCAGAGGGGGAAGAAGCAGGGTGCGCTGGGTCGAGGCCGCAGGCGTGCGGGCGGCCGAGGCGCCCGATCGCACCCTTCCTCGCCCCTGGGTCGAAGGTGTGCGGGCGGTTGAAGCCCCAGGCGCTAGAGGGGGCCCCTCCGTGCGCCGACAGCCGCGAGGTGGTCCTCTTGGACGTCCTGGTGAACCTCCTGGGGCCTTTTTGGGTCCGCCTCGAGGCGTCGTGGGGTGGATCTGGAGGCTCGGAGAGCCCCGGAGGTACGTCGACGAGCTCGGGAAGAGCGCCTTCTGCCGTGATCTGGCAAGCACCCATCCCCCAGTTCGAACCCGAAGGGGGGGAGGTAAACCAGCCTCCCACTCGGGACTGGCGGGTGGGGAGCTCCAACAAAGCTCAAACACAGTTCAATCAAAGCTCAGCCAAAGCTCAACCAAAGCTCAACCAAAGCTCAAAGAAGTCTCAAACAAAGCACACACTAAGCTCAAACAATGCTCAACCAAAGCTCAAACCAAGCTCGAGCAACGCTCAAACAACGTTCAAACATTATTCACTCCAAGCTCAAACAATGCTCAACCAAAGTTCTCACAAAGTTTAAACAAATATCGAACACAGTTCAATCAAAGCTCAATCAAAACTCAACCAAAGCTCAACCAAATCTCAACCAAAGCTAAAAGAAAATTCAAGCAAAGCACGCACAAAGCTCGTGACTATGCTCAACCATAGCTCACACCAAGTTCACCCGAAGCTGAGACAAAGCTCAAACCAGGCTCAACCAACGCTCAAACAAACATCATCTAAAGCTCAACCAAAGCGCAAGCAAAAATCGAGCACAGCTGAATCAAAGCTCAACCAAGCCTTAAGCACATCCCAACCAAAGATGAAACATCTACCAAACAAAGCTGAAACACAGCTCAACCAAGTCCAAAGCAAAGCTCAACCACAGCTGAAACTAAGCTCAAGCAAGTTTCAACAGAGCGCAGACAAATCTCGACTAAATCTTGACCACAGTGCAAACACAGCTCAAGCAAAGATGCAGAACAGCGCCAATAAAGCTCAAACGAAGCTCAAACAACGCTCTAGCAAAGTTCAAACAAAGCTCAACCAAAGCTCAACATCAGTTCGAATTTCGGGCGGGGAGTTGATCGTTCCCCCCCATCCCCCCCCCCATCCCCCCCATCCCCCAGTTCCGGCAGGAGGGATCCCCTGGATCGAACCGGAGGGGGGGGAGCTTCTGTGCATTTTCTTTCCCCCCTTCCCGGTGAATTCCTGGCGGGGGGGTCCTATTGGACCCTGTGTTTGCGTGAGTGCGAACAATGTGTTTGTCTTCATTTCTCCAATCTTGCACCATTCGTAAGAAATTAAGACGCCGCTTTACTTTAATCTATAATTTTACGCTGCACGAAACTTCACAAATTAAAGCAATTTGAAAACCCCAAGCCAAATTTAACTTGTACGTACCAACTCTTGATATACATCGGAAGAGCCCCACAATCAAGTTCAATGTATACATCCTCACGAATGAAATCAACTTGCAATCCATTCACACATTGATTACCATTGTGGGGGACTTCCAAATGCAGTCTGTCTGTGGGGCCGCGGAAGCTATCCAGCATAACAGGAACAAAAACAAGACACCAATCAAAGACCTTGTGCTTTCACGTGTTAAAAATAGAAGAACTAAGACTAAAAGTACTGACCGTCACGGGTTTTCCTTTGTTTCTCTTATTAACCCATGTGAGACATTGCCTAGCTTCTGCTTTTCAGGATTTTCTTGTTTTCATGGTAAGCCTCCGCGGCCACACGGCAAGCCACTACAATTCCTTGCAATTGTTATCAATTCGAAAAGCCCCACGAACAAATCCAATATGTAAACCGCTACAGTTACGATCAAATTGAGAAGCACCACAATCAATTTCAAAGTGTATATCGCCACGGCGAAAATGCATCTGAAGATCCCCACAATCAAGTTCAATGTGCAAAAATTCTCGCATGAAGTCAATGTGTAATCCATTTACAAAGTAGTTGTGATTTTGGGGGGGTTCCAAAAGAGAGCCGTCGCGCCTCGGAAGCTAACCAGGAAAGCAAGACACACATTTAAGACACTTATTTTTTCACACCGGAAAACATGACATATTACGGAAAGCATGTGACCGACAGTGTGTTTATTCGTTTACCGAAAACATGAACCAGTCACATGTTTCCATCAGTTTCTTCATACCCATGCATCTGAAAGCACGGGTTTGTTGTTGATCTGTTTGTTATTGTTTTCTTGGTGAGCTTCCGCGGCCCCAGCGCTGCCTGTTTTGAAAACCCCACGATCGATAGTTCTGTATACATTGATCACATATTGCTCTTCAGTTGATTTTAGCAAGTTAACTTTTGAGGTCAGGGGATTTCCACAGGCAGAGCCGTGGGGCCGCGGAAAGCTGACCAGGCAAGCAGGAACAACAGGAACACGAAGCCACATGGGTGTTTCCACATTGAGAAACAGCAGGCATTGAGGACAACCTATGACCGTATGCATTCTTATTAGTAAGACGAATAAACACACTGCCAGGCAGAGGTCTTCCTCAGTTTGTCCTGCGTGGTCTTTTGAACGCACCGCGTTTGGTTTTCTCTTGCTTTTGCGTGTTCCTGGTAAGCCTCCACGGCCCCACAGCAAGCCGCTACAATTCCCCACGCTTAGAGTCAAGTCGAAAAGCCCCACGACCAAATTCAAGGCGTAAATTTCAACCATAAAAAATCATCTCGGAAGGGCCACAAACAAATTCAATGTGTGTAGGCCCCACACTTACAGTCAATTGTGAGAAGGCCCACGATCAAACTCAAGTTGTTTTTCCCCACGCATGAAATCAATGTGCAATACATTTGCAACTTTATTTTGATTGTGGGCACTGCTCAAAAACAAAACAGGATAAAGATAGAAAAAAACAAGTGCTTCACATTGAAAATAAGAGAAATGAAAGACAACGTCTGAGAATTGCCGTTTTTATTTTCGCAAATCGAACCAAACCACCGCTGACAGTCACAGCTTTTTCTTTGTTATTCCTGTGTTTCCATGTGAGACCATCGCGTTTTTCCTATAGCTTGTTTTTCCAGTGTTCCTCGTAAGTTCCCGCGGCCCCACAGCAAGCTAGCGCAATGCCCCACAGTTGAAATCAATTTGAAAAACCATCAAATCCAATTTGCGAATTCCACAATTTAGATCAATGCGAAAGCCCCGCAATCAAATTCGAAGTGAGCATCCCTACGCAAGAATTCAATGTGTAATTCACTTACGTATTGATTTCGAGTGTGGGGGGCAGATTCGGATTACGAAACCACGCACGGTGAATGTAAACAGTGACCTACGGACGTGCAGATCACGAGGGAATTCATTAGAAAAACCTTGTTGCAAAACACAGGGTCTCACTGGGGGTTCCCCGGGGGCCACCCCCCAGTTCTCTGGGAGGGGGGGGAGTTGTTGTATTCCCCCGCCCCTCCGGTTTCCTGGAGGGGGGGACTTGTTTCAGTCAAGCGACGGTAGATCGCGCTCCCTCCGAGCTCGTGCCCCCCCACTCCCGCTCCCCCCCCTTTTAGCGACGAGCTCGTGATTCCCTCACCCCTCCCGGCTCCTCCCCCCCAGAGTTAGATGTTGGACACCCCATGAGAGGGGAAAGTGGGGAGGGGAAGTCATCTCACACGCTCTTTTTTTCCAGCAAGCGGGGTTAGGCGTATTCAGTCAAGACGTTATTTAGGAGAGGTCCAGGTGCCGATTTTGAGGGGAGAGGCCGAGGAGGAGGAGGAGGAGGAGAACAATGACGACTGCAAAACCAAGACGCATCAACGATGTTGGAATAGTTAACTCATCCTTGTCAGTTCCCTTCCTCATGGGTCCCTAGAAGAATGTCTGTGAAGACAACCGTCTGAGTATCCTCAGTCGTGCCAAGGCATTGTTCCTAGGATTTTAGTGCGAGGGATCAACGTGTTTGTTGCAATCTGGCAATCTTACATCGTGCCAGAGCATCGTTCGCGGGACATCAAGCCAGAGTCAATGTGACTGTTGCGTCTTGGCTTGAATCGTGCCAGAACGCCATACATCAACCATACGAACCTTTTAATTGTCCCATGTTGTTAAGACGAATGTGCGTTGCGCTAAGGAGAGAGAGCCACGTTTTGAAAAGAGCCGACCTCCATCCTCGCAGGCGTTGCGGCGTTACTTCGAGAGCATAAATTTGAAAACAGACCGGCTCTCTTTCTTTTTCTGCGAATGTTTCAAACGAATGTGCGCGGCGCTAATGCGAGAGCCACGTTTGAAAACAACCCACTCTCCGTCCATGAAGCTGTTCCAAATTTCAAGCGACGTCCCAGGCGAAACGCCTGGCCCTCTCGACAGGCACGTCTGGGGGTGCGACAGGAGGAGTTCTTCATAAGGAAAATAGATTGAGGAGGGAGGGGGGGGGGACGGAGGGAGGGACAGGAGAGGGTCTTGACTTTTAGGAGGTGCCCAGGAGGGATGCGCGAAGGACAGGAGCAGGGATGACAGCGAGCAGACCGCCGACGGCGGGGGAACCGATCCTCCAGGACCTCGGCATGCGGTGGATGTGATGATGATGCTCGAGGCCCCCCAGGGCCCAAACACTTTACATCCGCCGCCCCCGGGGGGTCCCGTGAGATCCTGAGACATTGGCCCTCCCTGGCGGCGGGCACGTGTCAGCCCCGGCCCGGCACGGCCCCGCCCTCCCTCGCACCGCTCCTTCCGTCTCGCCGTGGCCCTCCTCGCCGTCTTGCTCGCGGGTGCCCGCCGTTCTCGCCGAGCACGCGCCCCGCCGCCCGGTCTGCGGCCGGCGGGGCGCGTGAAAGCGTCGATGGTCGTCGGTCAGGAGGGAAAGAAACACACAGACACAATGAATCGTCGATTCCCAGGAAAATATGGGAAAATATGGGAGGTGGGGGGGAAGACAAAAACCCTGAAAATATGGGAAAATATGGGGAATCCTGTTATTCGTGTGTATATTTATTTGTGTGTCGCAGGGCCCCTTCAGTCGGAGCGCGTGTTGGCCCAAGCCGGCAGCGCGCAGCCTGCGTGGGCCCTCGTTGCGCCTCCCGCGCTGTGTTGAGGGGCCCCGGCGGACAAGCACACGGCGGCACTGACACACCTTCTGAGGACGATCGAAGGCAGGGCTGGACCTGAACGCTGCGTTGCTGGACTTCGGCTGTTTTTTTTTTGTTGTTGCTTTTTTGTTATGGGAGGGGAGGTACAGGAAAACAGCTAGAGCAAAACGAAACACAAAACGAAAACAAAACGCAAATCAAGGTTTCGGCCCAGCCCTGGTCGAAAGTGTTTGCGGCCCGCCGGGGAAGTCATGGTCACGGCGGCTACAAGTACGAAGAACAACGAATGGCCAGGAGGATGGACGACGCAGGCGCCGGAGGCGTCGACGTCGTTGACGGCGGCGACGGCAACGGTGATAACGAACATCGATGAGAGCGACGACGACAGCGATGGCGACGACGACGACTTCGACGTTGACATCGACGACATCGAACAAGTCGTCGATGACGGCGGCGACGGCGTCGACGCGGAGCCAGCCGCGGCGCTGTCCGAGGAGGGCCGCGCACTTTGCCGCGCTGGCGATCTGCTATGCGCCTAGTTGGTGATGGCAGGTGCGATGGCGTGAGGACGACGGTGAGAGGGCGACGGTAACGTTAGAACGGCCAGCTTTCGCCAGGGAGTGAGTCTTCTCCGAAATGTTTGAAACCCCGAATAACCCTCCGAAAACTCTCCCGGAAGGGTTCTGGGAGGCTTTTCGTAGGCTTTCGGAGGGGTTTCGACCGTTTTGGGAAACAAGCAATCCCAAGCGAACCCTGGACATAATGCTAACGAGCACGATGGGATGATGGTGTGTGTGTGTGTGTTTGCCGTGCTCCCATCGCAGATCGAGGTCAGCGGCTAGATAGTTCCAGCATTGCTCGCATGCGTGCGGAAAGAGGGCCCGATCTTCAGGGGAGCTTCAAGGAGGAGAGGACCGTTAACGGAGACAAGCTGGACTCCGGGAACCGCAACATTTGCGGAATATGTTCCTTCCCTAGTCTTTTTGTTGTGTCCTCTTTTTAAGCTTGTGCGTGTCCGTCTGTCAGTCCGTCAGTCAGTCAGTCGACTGTCTGTCCCTCTCTCTCTCACTCTCTCTCTCGCACTCCCTCGCACTCCCCCCGCCTCTCCCCGGGAAAGCGGCAGAGGGAGGGCAGGAAGTCGCCCTGGTGCTGATCGCGCCTGTGCCCCCCACAGGACTTCGTGCTGACCCGAGACGGCACCGCCTGGGGTCGGAGCTTCGTCCGCGCGTGAGCGGCCCTCCGCCGAGGCGCGTGGGCTCCCTCCCCCCGGGGAGGGGCGCCGCGCCCCGAGGGAGGCCCTGCCCGCCGCGGGCCCGAGCCGGACCGGCAGGGCTCTTAGGAAGCTCTCCGGCAGGGCTCGCTTGGCTCGCTGGCGCTGTCTTTGCGCTGTTGTCATCGCTCGCTTTCGCTGGCCTCCTCCTCCTCCTCCGCCTCCTCCTTTTCGCTGTTGGCCTCCTCCTTGGCTCGCTTTCGCTGTCTTTGGACGCCCGAAATGGGCACGGAAAGAATGGGTGCAATGCCTAGCAGCAGTTCCTGCTCGTCTTGAGCAGGACTCGCTGTCCACGCCGCCGCGGCCTGTGTCCAGCTGAGACAGGAGGCCGCCTGCCCAACAGCGGCCGCTGTTGGTTTGGGACGACATTTGTTGTTGGGCATTGTACCCATTCTTTCGGTACCCATTTCGGGCGTCCAAAGTTGTCTCTCGCCCCCCTTTGTGAACGGACATCCTCTGGGAGCACCAGCCTGGAGGCCGGCACAGCTCGATGCAGCTTGGCCTGGCGATCGGCGAATGAGTTTCTTTTTTCGTGTTTGCCGTCCCTGTCGCAGCTCGACGCAGCGCCTGGAAGCCGGAAGGGCTCCCAGAGAGGAGTTGCGGTTGGAACGGCCAGCATCGTTGAACCGATCCCAATCCCCCTCCCGATCCCCGTCATCCCACTACCCCAGTTGGGGAGCTGCCATGCCGGTCGAAACTCCAAGGGATCAGTCTGTGTCCCCATCTGAGGGTTAAATTTGCCAGTGCGGCCCAGGCCACGCTCGTGGGGATAGTGATCGCTTAAACGATGCTCAAAGGGGCTCCGTGAAGTTGCAGCGGTTGGAACAGATGGCGTGGGCTGGCCGTGCACGTCTCCATCCCGTTTTCCCAGCCCTGGTCTCCCTTTGTCCTCGCTCTGTGGGATCTCTTGGGGGGGAGCCGTCGTCGCCTACGGCAGGGCTCGCTCATCTGAGCCCTGGGCAGAACGCCTGACTGTAACCTCTTCGGAGCACTGGTCTCGGTACCTCTTTGCTCCCCCGGCCTCGGCAGGTCTCCATCCCGCCCTCCTTGCCCCGGCCAGCGTGCCCCGCCCCCCCGAGGGCCAGTGCTGCGTCCTCAGGTCTTGCTTACTGGCCCCAGGACCCGTGGAGGCCCCCAGGGGAGCCCGACGGCGGCGCAGAGCATCCCGGACCCCCCCTTCTCCAGAACCGGCTCCCCCACGCCTCCCCTCTGCCCAGAGCCCCCACGCCACTTGTTCAGAGCCCCGAATCATCAGGGGTAACTCGGGTCAGGGATAACTCGGGTTCGTTTTTCGGGATTCCGAACCCGAGTTACCCCGGACCCGAGTTACCCCGGATATCTCGGGCGTCCAGAGCCCCGAATCATCAGGGGTAACTCAGGTCAGGGCTAACTCGGGTTCGTTTTTGGGGAACCCAAACCCGAGTTACCCCGGACCCGAGTTACCCCGGATAACTCGGGCGCCCAACTTGTCTGCGGCCACCGAGGGGAGCCCCCCCTAAAACGACGCGAAGATCGGGACAAAGCCGGATCGGGGTAACTCGAAATCTCTGAGAATCGGCGGGTTTGGAGGATGTATTGGGCGCCGCGGCCGCTCCAGAGCGTTCCGGAATGCTCTGAGAGCGCTCCGGAACGCTCTGGAGCGATTTATCCCGATCCTAGCCCTGTTTTAACTCGACGAGCTGAGGCCTGCGCTGCGGGGTGGGCGCGCGCAGGCGGCGCGCCGATGTGCGCTCCGCGCTGGCTGCGCCAGGCGATTGCGCGCTGCGCCTATGTGCTGCAGCTCGCGCATCCCGTGCACGCCGGCGGCGCGCGGGCGCGCCACGGCAGCAGGGGGCCTTTGTCGGATATGGCCAGGGCCCCGGTGAGGGGGAGCGGGTCAGTGACTGGGTCGAGGTGTCCCCCCTATGCCAGTCCCCCCCTGTCGTTGCACATCACCGCTGCAGAGGGGGGGGGGAAGTGGGGCGGAGGTGGAGGAAGATGAGGAGGAGTGCAAAGGTGGAGCAGTTGTTGCCTGGCGCGCTGAAGGTTGGAGAGCTCCTCGTCGGACGGACGTACACTGATCATCTCTTGCTGTGTGTTGTGTGTGAGAATGCCGCTGGAGCGCATCGTACTCCTGGCGAGTGTGCGAATGACGAGGAGGAGCGTGAGGACGAGGAGCAACGAGAGGAGGATTTCGATCAATATGAGGGCGGCGAGGAGGCGGGCAGAGGGCGGGGAGGAGAGAGGAGCAGGAGGAGGGATGAGGAGTGCGACGAGGATGATGACGAGGAGGGGGATAAGACAACGAGGAGGGATGAATATGAGGCGGAGGTTGAAGATGGCGGGGCTGGAGAGGTGGAAGAGAAGGTGGGCGAGGAGTAGGAGGGCCAGAATATACAGACAGCCCGTTCCAAGTCCTCCCCTCATCAGTCTCTATGGGCATTCTGACGAAATGTGCTGTCTACTACGGGAAGCTTCTTATGGACCTCCATCCAGGCGATACCCCCGCTTTCCGAGAGGATCCGTTTCACACGTACCTAGGAGGAGTTCAGCGAGAGCCGCTTCGTGATGAGGAACCGCCCTCCACGCGGCTGACAGTTGCCAGCGTTCACGTTTATGTCCGCAGGAAGGCGACGATATGTCACGCGAGAGCTCCACTATTGAACATGTGCCACCCTCCATCCGTATAGATGATGTACCTATTTTCTGGCCCCGAACTTCTGAGCAAGTCTGAGTCATAGGCTCTGTTTGAAAATGAGCTGTGATGCATCACGCAGATTGAAGACGCTACGGCGAGTCACCACCGCCTCCCGCCCTTCGGATACGCCTATGTGGCCAAACAGTTGGGCTGTTTTTGGCCACGCTCTTGGACCATGCGTTCCTCAAGCTTTTTGTCCAAGCCCTTCGGGTATCACGTTGGGGGGAAGAGGAGGATGAGGAGAAGGAGGAAAAAGGAGGATGAGGAAAAGGATGAAGAGACCTCTTGCGAGCTTCTTGGGCCATTCTTGGGGTCTCCTGGGGTCTCCCTAGCGGCCTCTTAGAGGCCTCTTGGGGGCTTCCTCGGACCATTTAGGGGCTTTTGCTTTTTTGGGGGGGCTCTTTGGCCGTCTTACGGCGTTCCTGGCCCGCCTGACGCCGTCGGACGCCGTCTGGGCCCTTCATACGCTTCGTGGCCCCATTGGGGGCTCCAGTTGAAGCCCAAATGGCAGGGTCGGCACGGAGTCGGTGTGTCTTTTCGGCACACCCCTCATACGTTTCGTGCCCCCGTAGAGGTTTAGCTGAGGCCCCAGCCGCAGGGTCTGCATGATGGTGCCACAACGGAGGCAAGGAGAGGGTAAAATAGCTTGGGAGGGAACGCGACACGGCGACGCACGGGGCTCGCGCCACACAAATCATTCCTTTGGCGCACCCATGTCCGCCTTCCGTCTCCTCATCCACGACGCGGTCCTTTTGCTGGCCCCCCTCCTTCATCTCACCTCCCTCGCGATACTTGTAATTGCACAGGGTTGGGCCTTTTGGTCGGGATATTTTCCTGTTGTTGCGTTCGTGGAGTAGGCTGGACACCCGCGTTGTGAATGGCGATGTCATCCGATCTTCGCTGTCATTTCCGTGGGTTTTCTCTTCATCCAAACTGGCACTGGAAACATAACATCATCATGCTCCTCATCCTTCCGTTACCGCTCGCCTCCTCGTTCTACCCCTCTTTTTGCCCTTCCTCATCGTTTGACGCCTCCTCCTCCTCAGCCCCAATTCCACGGGCACGCGAGAGGGCCAACAGTTGCTCCCCCGCACTGATCCGCAGGGAGTCGGACTCACAAGGCAGCGAGCGTCTCTTACGGGGCCACCTCGGAACTCGCCACTTGTAGCTTCGGGGTATGCCCCCTGCCGGCTCTAGTGATAAGTCGGGGCTGCTGCACAATCGAATCGCCGGGGATTCTGCCAGTCGCGCGCAAGGCACCAGTGTAGGTGTTGACGTTGGCCCTCTTATGCGGATGTCCTGTCCTGTCCTCTTCCTCCTCCGCCTCCTCCTCCTCCTCCTCCTCCTCCTCCTCCTCCTCCGCCTCCTCCTCCTCCTCCTCCTCCTCCTCCTCCGGCGCGGGGGGCGGGGTCCTGTCCTGTCCTCTTCCTCCTCCTCCTCCTCCTCCTCCGCCTCCTCCTCCTCCTCCTCCGCCTCCTCCCGGGCGTTGATCTGTCCCTGCGGGGGAAGTCCAAGGCCTCGGGGGCGTCGCGCGGAAGTCAAGTCCCGGGTCGAGCGCCGCGCCCGAGGTGTTTCTTCAAAGGCGCGCGTCGTTTCGGAGCCGACCTGGGGTCGGCCGTAGGACATTGCAGTGTTCAGCCGGACCTAAGGAACGATAGATGCGGAACGGAGCCCCCCCTTTTTTCCAGTCGCCACCCACCAAACCACCCCAACCCAACCCGAAGGCTCAGATTTACCCTCGATTTCTAGTGGGGGGGGGTCCGGGAACATCGAAAAAACACGTATGGAGGCCACACCCCCCCCCAACCCGAAATTCGGGTCTTCGGGTTGGGTTGGGGTGGTCTGGTAGGTAGTCATTTAGGAAGTCTGCAGGAACACCAGAGGGGGCTCGCCGCCAAAAAGGTACCGGAACATAGGCAAACAAAAGGAACGACCGAGCCCTTTTGACAAGTAATTGTTCCTTATTCAAGCCAGACCCTGTAAATTCGAGCTGGAGCCAGGTCGTTGGTTCCGGGGTCGGGCCAATTTTGTTTTGCTCGTCTTGCGAAACCGCCGCACATGCGCATAATGGCCTTTATGTAGCCAGCGGAACTGAATGCAAACGGGCCCATGGCGCCTCGCATATTTCCACCAGCCCACCCAGAAGCGATGCCCAGTCGATGCAAGGTGAGCAGGGACATGTAAAGCCAGTGGGGATGGCAGCCGTTATCGTTCGCACGGGGAGAGGATTGATAGGGGAGGATGGATTTGGAGGATGAATAGGTGGATGATGGTGGTGATGATGATGATGACGGTGTTGATGATGATGATGATGATGATGATGATGATGATGATGATGATGGTGATGATGGTGATGGTGATGGTGATGGTGATGATGATGATGATGATGATGATGATGGTGATGATGGTGATGGTGATGGTGATGGTGATGATGATGCTGATGATGATGATGATGATGATGATGATGATGATGCTGATGATGATGATGATGATGATGATGATGATGATGATGATGATGGTGGTGGTGGTGGTGGTGGTGGTGGTGGTGGTGGTGGTGGTGGTGGTGGTGATGATGATGATGATGATGATGATGGTGGTGGTGGTGATGTTGATGGTGATGTTCATGATGAGGAAGAGGAGGAGGGGGGGGAGGAGGAATAGGAAGAGGCGAAACAGGAATGAGAGGAGGAGGAGGAGGGTGAGGAGGAGGAGGAGGAGAAGGAGGAGGAGGAAGAGGGCGAGCGGAGCGGCCAGAGGCCTCCTAGATGCCTCTCGGAGTGTCGTCGGGTATCTTCATGGGCGCTTCTTGGCTGCCTCTTTGCCGTCACGTGGGCGTCTTGGGGCATTTTTGGTGCCTCTGGGGGGCCCCTTGGGGACTCTAGGGTGCAGGTTGGGGACTTTTTCGGGGCTTCTTCGGGGCTTCGTGGTGGCACCTTGGAGGTCTATCGGGGCCTCTGGGGCGCCTCCTCGGGCTATCTTGGGCCTTCGTGGAAGTCTTGGGCCCTCCTGGAGTCATCTTGGGGCCCTCCTGGCGCCCTCTCGGGCGCACTGCTGTGGAGCATCTGAAACGGACGTGTCAGAGCCTCTATTGCGGGGAGGCTCCTGGTGCTTCCTGGAATCCCCAAGACATGTCTTAGACCCCTCCGGGCCCTCCTTGAGCCCTCTTGGGGCCTTCCGTGCGCCCTCTTGGTGCCCGCCGCGGTTGAGCATCTGACACGGCCGTTGCAGATGCCCTTCCAGCGGGGGGGGGGCGTGTTGGCCCCCCCCACCGGGCTTGTCCTAGGGCCTCGCGGGCCTTGTGGGAGTTCTCACGGGGCTTGTCAGGCTCGCCCAGGGCCCTCCGATTTAGTTTGGCGCAGCTTCTAGGGACTCGCCCCAATGGCGTTGCCTGCGGCGCGGGGCTACCCCCGGGAGTGCACCCCACCGTGTTTCGCAGAAGTCTCCAGGGGGTTACCGCTCCGGGGGTTGGAGTGCGGCAACCGGGAGGGGGGGGGGGCTGTGGTGCCGTCTTTTGCGCAGGTCGACGTGGCGTTCGGCACGATTTGGAAAGCCCCCGGGGTCCCCTTTGGGCCTTCGTGGGGCATTTTGGCAGCGCCCGCGGGGCGCTCCGGGGGCTTTTGGGGGTTCTCTCGGGGCATCTCGACAGCGTCCGCGGGGCGCCTCGGCGGCTCTCGGGGGGCCCTGTGCCCGTCCGATGGCGCTCTCGGGCCGTCGGTCGCTGTCGGAGTCCACCTCTGCGGGCCTCTTCTGGGTCGTCTGGAGGCCCCTTTGGGGGACATCGGGGGCCGCCTGAGGGCTCCCAACTCGGGGGTGGACAGAACCCCCAACAGTGACACGTCGATGAGTGAATTGTCCGTTTTCGGTTTTCGAGAGGGCGCCGTGGCCGTTATTTTCCAGGCTTGCGCCCGCCAGGTTTGGGCCTCAGGTCGTTTTCACTAAACCACGTTTTGCTAAAGGGGGGTTTGTCCATCCCCGACCAACGGGGCGAGCTGAGGTCCTCTCGGGCCGCTTCCGGGCCGTCTTGGAGCCTTCCTGGGCCGCCCCATGGGGCCCGCGGCGGACCGATGGCAGGCGGCCGCGTCTGTGCGCCACTCTGCTCAGGCTCGTAGGCGTTTGCTCCGAGCGTGGATTACCTACACCTTAGGCGATGCTTAAGAAAACCTAAGTTTTCGGCCAGAGTCTCGATTATTCTTAATGTTTCAATGTAAATCCTACGATTTTGATAGAAGCTCTAGGTTTTTATTCAAATTCTGAGACTCTGAATTTCTGAACCCATGATTTCTTAAGCATTTCGCAGGGTGTACCTACCCCACTTTCGCTTCCAGGCAAAACCAAGTCATACCACGCGCCTCCTCGTCAGGGGGCCTGTCCAGTACAGTCCGTGGCTTGGCATCGCCTGGTATCTCTTGGAAGCGAGGGTGGTCAAACGCGAGGTAGGTTTATTTGTTCCCTATTTGCCTAAAAAGGGGCCTCTGGCCGCCTAGCTGTGGACGGCTTTCGGCCCAGCCAGGGGCGGGGCGTCCGGTAACCTACCCGCGGCCCGCGCCACGCGAAAACTTGGCGCGGAGGTCCCACATATACGACACCAACGGCGATGTGTGTGTCCGAAGCTGTCTGGCGGGCGTGGGCGAACTTTGGGCCACCGATTCGGACAGGCGAAATTTAGGCGAAATTTGGGCGAAATTGGGTGAAATTTGGGCGAAATTTGGGCGACATTTGCGAATCGCCCCGCGTCGCCGACGCCATGAGCCGGAGATGTCAGCTGGCCAGCTGCCGGCGGGCCCCCTGGCTGCGGCCAGCTTTCGGCCCACCTCCGCTCTTCCGTCAGGGGCGTTGGAGCTGGTCCTCGCTCTTAGGCGGTGGGTAGGCTTGCTCCCGCGCTATCCTGAGTTGCCGACCTCATTGGTTCGACAAGTGTCTTCTCTCATGTGGGTGATTTTTACGGCCCCCCTGATCCAGGCCAGTCGGTGGTCTTGCTCGCCCCAGCCCTGTGGCCCGCGGGTGATATTCTTGGCCCCCTTGCTCTGTGCCCGTGGGTCGGCTCCGTGATTCATAGGGCTGTGCTTGTCCAGACACGGTGCCGTTTTCAATACATGCTCCGCGTGCGGATCATGTATTTCAGGAGAGGAAAAAACACACAGACACAATTAATCCTCGATTCCGCAGAAAATATAGGAAAATATGGGCAGTGGGGGGGAAGACAGAAACCCCAAAAATATGGGAAAATATGGGGAATGTTTTTTATTTGTGTGTATTTATTTGTGTGTCCTGGGGCCCCTTTAGTATTAACCATGCAGGGAATTAGTATTAAGAATGACGATGAGTTCGTGCATGAAGCGCTTGCGGGGCAAGGTTCCGCTCTGGGCTCGGGCAGGCGGCGCCCCCGGCCCGCGCGCACGGCGCGGACGACCTCGCAGAGGGGGTGGTCGCGGGGTCGGGGGGGACTTGTCAAGAGACCCCACGGCACGACAGTTGGCTGCGCGAGGTCGGTGTGCGCGGGGGACGATGCACGAAAGCTTTGCTACCCCCGCGAGGGCGAGAACTCGCGGCCCCATCCTCCACCTCCTCGTTCTTCCCCCCCCTCCGCCATCTCCCCCCTCTCCTCCCCCCGTCCTCATCACGATCAGGTTCCTCATCCCGCCCACTGTTCAATCGCATTTCCTCCTCTGAGTGCTTCGTTGACTCTTCCTGCCGCTGGCCATTCTCCGCTTCCTTCCCACACCTCATCCGCGTCCTCGCTGTCGTCCTCGTTCTTTTGCTCCGCCTCGCGCACTGCACCGTGCCCATCCTCACTCTACACCCTCTCGTCTCTCTTCTTTGCGCACCCCGTCGCCCTCCTCCTCCTCTTCATCCTCCTCATTTTCCTGCTGCTCCTCCTCATCCTCCTGCTCCTCCTCCTGATCCTCTTCCTCCTCATCCTGTCCCTCCTCCCCCTCCTCCTCCTCTTCCTCCTCCTCCTCCTCCTCCTCTTCTTCCTTCTCCTCCTCCTTCTCTTCGTCCTCCTCCTCCTTCCCCTCCTCCTCCCCCTCCTCCTCCTCCTCCACCTCCTCCTCCTCATCCTCCTTCCTCATCCTGCTCCTCCTACTCCTCCCCATTTTCACCCACTGCTGACACTCCTCGTCCTCCTCCTCGCCCCTCTCTCCTCCTGGAGGCCGAGGAGCCCGCCGCCGCCGCCGACGTCGGGCGACGCGCCCCCCCAGTCGGGACGGCGGCGCGGGGGGTGGCCCCCCGTGGGGCACGCGCCCGCCGTCGGCCCCCCCAAACGTCGCAGCGGGCGGCAGGAGGGGGCGGGCGGCCCACGGGGCGGGGGCGGACCCGGAGGGTGGCACCACGGCGCCGAGGCGTCGGCGGTGCTCGGCGGCCAGCGAGGGGGGGGGGGGGGGCATGAGGAGGAGACGGCCCTCTCTTTTTCAGAAGGCGGCGGGACTTCCCAGAAGCCCCCGCGCCTTCTGAACAATTGTTCTGCAGCGTCGGGAAAGATTCGAAAACGTGTCAAAAGTCCGGGGGACTTCCGAACCTTCTGGGAAGGCCCACGCCCTTCCTCACTTCCCCCCTAGGTTGGCCGCCGAGTATCGTCTGCGTGCCTCCACCGAAGGACGATGATCCCGATCTTGCTGAAGGTGGTGCTTCTCTCGCTTCCCAGGCGGCCGAAAGATCACCACCAGCAGCGAAAGCGAAGATCGTCTTCCCCGTGCTGGCGTTGGCGCCCGTGCCCAGACCTTGAGAAGTGACCGAGCGACGGACGGTAGAGCAGTACACGTTGACGCCGTCGTGGACGCCCGCCCCCCGGGCGGCTGAGAAGTTTGTTCTATCTTGTCCGCCGCCCCCCTAAAGACACCGCGTGCGTCCCGGGGCTCCGACCGCCCACGCGCTCCGCGGTGTCCTCCCCCTGGGCGAGCCCGCGCGGCGTGCCCGCCCCCCTTGGGCGGTCCGCCCCCCCCCCCGCCGCCCGGCCGCGGGAGGGCCCCCCCCCCCCGCGCGCGCCCTACATGCTGCGGGCGCTCCGTGGCGGCCCCGAGCAGGAGGCGCGGGCGAGGGGCGAGAAAGGCATCGGTCTGGATTCGGCGACGCCTCGCCGACGGACCGGCGATGGGCCCGAGGCAGCGAGGCCACGCGTCCCTGGGCGCGGCGGGCCATCGGGCCCCGAGCGGCGATCAAGGGGCGATTGGGGGTCGATGCATCCCCCCCGTAACGGTGCACCTGCCCCCGCCGCCTGCCCTGCCCACCCAGGGAGCCCACAACAGAAGTACGCACGCGCGGAGGAGGCGCAGGTGGGCCAGGAGGCCTTGGTCCGCCAGGTGCGTAGATGTGCTGTGAGGTCGGCGTGCTCGCAGACGGCAGGAGGGGGCGGGAGGGGAACGGAGGACCAGCGGAGGGAGGAGGAGGCGGAAGAGGAGGATGTGGAGGGGAAGGGTGGGGAGGAGAGGGAGGACAAGGAGGAGGAGGAGGAGGAGGAGGAGGAGGAGGAGGAGGAGGAGGACGGGGCAGGAGGAGGAGGAGGATGGTGGAGGACGGGGGACGGAGGAAGGAGGAATAGGAAAAAGAAAGAGAAGGAGGGGGAGAAAAGATGGAGGGAAGGGAGGGAGGAGGGATGCGGGGAGGGTGAGGGAGGAGGGAGGGGATGCGGCAGGGGGTGAGGCAGGGGGGGGGGGGGGCGAGAAGCCGGGAGGAGGAATGGATGAGGGAGGGACGGACGGCGGAGAAGTTGCGATGTCTTCTCTCGTGGGGCGCGGTGCCGCAGGGCCGGCGGGGAGGCCGGACTCTGGGCCAGGTGAGCGCACCTCTGTGCGGGCGACGTGGCAGCATGTTCCTTTCCCCTCCTCGGCCAGTGTCTTTTCCGTCACGCTGTCCCGTCACCGCATCGTCGTCATTACCACCATCATTTTCGTTTCCGTGTTTGTCCTCTTTCTTTTGGGCTCTCTGTCCCCCTCTGCTCGCCCGGTTCTCGAGGCCCCTGTGGTGTCTGCCCGCTCTTCTGCCCTCCCTGTCCAGAGGAATCGTACCACCCACAGCCCCCGGCCCCGCAGACGCTGATGGGAGTAAGCCATCCCCCCGCATGCATCACGTGTCTCATGTTGTCACGATACAGCCAACCCAGATAGTAAGGGTGAGCGGCTTTCCAAGGTCACCCTTGGTTATATTGTTATATTTCCTCGACGTCCCATCCTTGGCCACTTTCGCTGGCCGCGCCCCGCTCGGAAACCTTCAAGGCCCTTGCATCCTTACCGCGCGCCTTTCTTGTACGCGTTGACTGTGGCCCCGCAGACGCAGATGTAAGTGAGCCGTCCCCCTTCCCCCGCCCCAAATGCATCCTATATTCTCCATGCTGGTACACTAGATTAGAAGCACGCCGCAGACGCCAATATGTTCTTATCATTCGATTCGCCGCAACCCATGCCGGCGCCCACCATGGGCCACACGGCGACGGGGCCCGGGACGCCAGGACGCCGCGCCCCTTTTTCCCCCAACCCCCACGAGGCCGCACAGGCCCCCCCCTGCCCTGGGCCAGAAGGAGGAGAAGCAGGACGATGAGACAAACGTGTCCACGTGTGCTTGCCCCAGACCTCAGAGGAGTAAAAGCGCACCGAAACCGCTGCCCTTTCCTACCCTTCCCTCGTTTTCCCCTTTCTGGGCATCCTGGGAGGCCCTTGTCGCCACCGCTCGATTCGTTTCGGGATTTTAGTCAGCACGTACCCTGGGAGAGGTCCGGGGAGTGGCAGTATTGGTACCCTTTTGGTTTCCCGCGGTTTCTTCTCTCCCCGCGCGCCCGTGCGCCCCCGCGCAGGGAGATGAGCGAGGTGGTCTTCCGGTACGCCCGCTGCCAGCCCGCAGCCGCTTGGTTTCTATCTGGCCGTCCTGTCTTTGAGGGGGGCGGCGGCCACTCGGCAGGGACCAGGCTCATCCTTTGGCGTTGCGCTCTCGAGCAGGCTCCTGCGACGCAGGCCTGGATGCGTGTGTCTAGGAAGTGGCATGGGCCATGCCCCCAAAGGTACTCCAGATTTCGTAATAAAGGGAGGGGGGTCTCATTTCGGGGGGGGGTCTCTTCCAGGCTATCTTGGAGGGCCTGGGGGGGTCTGGGGACGACGTTTTGGAGGGTTCTCCCACGGGGGGGGTCTGAAATGGCCTGTCTTGGAGGGTCCAGACACCCTCCCTCTTATTACGAGATCTGGAGTAGTCCTGGCAAGGCGTGGTGGTGCACAGGCGTTGATCTTCCATGCTGGTGGGGGCAACTGCCTGGGAGCAGGCTGCTCCACTGGAAAGTTGTATTCGCGCCGGGTGGCAGGTTGTCGGCGACGAGCCCCGAGCGTGGGCAGGAGGTTCTGATGGAGCATGCCAGGTGTAGATTCGCTCGCTTCCTCGCCTGAGCCTTCAAGAGGAGGCTGCTTCATGGCCCAACAAGGCCCCTGATACGGTCCAGGAAGCCCCAGAAAGGATCCCGAGAGGCCCGAATGCGCTTCCAGAGGGCCTCGGGCCTGCCCTCGAGGGCCCCCAATCGGCTCAACATGCGTTCAAGAGTGCCCCAGAGGAAGCAGAGACGCCCCAGGAGGACCCCCAAGAGGGCCTCAAGAGGTCAAAGGCATCCAGCTACCGCGCCAGAAGCAGAAGCGTGCGCTGGCAGTGATCTGCTCATGTGTACACGCATGGATAGAACAGATGTCCCTGTGTAAACATATGTGCGGTGCCCCTCATTCGGAATCATCATGCTTACACTACGGGTGAGATGTTCTTCTCATATTGCTGCGGCTCCCCATCGTCATGCATGCACCCGCTTCCCCCCCACGAAAGTCCGCCGCCGCTTCCGCTTCCACCTCCCGCCCCCGCACCGGCCGCCGCCTGTGCCTCTGCTTACTCCGTCTCCGCGTCTCTGATTCGCTTTGCTTCTGCCCGATCGTCGATGCATCTCGCATACTCCTGATCCTCATGCTCCTGCCTTCTCATCCTTCTCCTGTTCCGCCGCCGCTGCATCCCCCCCCACCTCCACGTCTGCTTCCGCCGCCGCTGCCAGCGCACCTCGATCCCCTTGCACACCTTCGATCATCGAAACTCGATCCTCGTCGATCCTCGATCATCCATCCTTCTCTCCCTCCCCGATTCGGTCTCGGCCCCTTCCCTGGATGTACTTTTTCGCCCTGGATCCATCTCTGATGGTCGAGGAGCCCGGAAGCGGCTCCCGGAGACCGAACGTGAGGACAGGTGCCGGGTCTCCCTTTCGGTCCTTTTTGGTCGATCTTTGGTCCTCCCTTCCTCTCCTCTCTCCTCCGAGCCTCGATCATCGAGGCCCCTTCCTGCCTATGCCCCCTTGGGCTGCAAGTTCTGGAAGGCTAGAGTCAGCATCGGCCCTGGTACATCCTTGGCCGAAGTCCAGCTCAAGCCCGCCTAGTCCCACTCCGTCCAGCCCAACCACGGCAATGCTTGGATCACTTCGACCCACCAGCCCCTCAATCTGGCTCAATGGTCTTTCTCATGGCTCCCGCTAAGGCTTCCTGGGAGCGCCTTCCCTCCCCCTGAGAGCCCGCGCGTCCTGCTGGTGCGGTGAGGTGGTGAGTTGACGTCCCCCGGACCGAAGCCCCTTCCGAAGTCGCTGCCGGTGGAGCGGAGCTGGGCAGTACACGCACACACGCACACATTTGCGCACATACGCAAACTCTCGCTCTCTCTCTCTCTCTCTCTCCCACAGACAGACCACACACACACACGCTTTTTGGTGCTCGCGGCCTCGCGCGCAGCGAAGAGGCGGGGAACATCGAGACAGACAGACAGACAGACAGAGACAGACAGACAGACAGGCAAACAGACAGGCAGACAGCCAGACAGACAGACAGTCACACACACATACACACATACACGCATACACACATACATCAAACACACACACACACGCACACACACACACACACACACACACACACACGCGCACGCACGCACGCACGCACGCACGCACGCACGCACGCACGCACGCACGCACGCACGCACGCACGCACGCACGCACACGCATGGACGCACGCACGCACGAACGCACGAACGCACGCACGCACGCACACGCACGCACACGCACGCACGCACGCACGCACGCACGCACGCACGCAGGCACGCACACGCCCACACGCCCACGCGCCCACGCACACGCCCACACGCACACGCACACGCCCACACCCACACGCCCACACCCACACCCACACCCACACCCACACCCGCACCCACACCCACGCCCACGCCCACGCCCACGCCCACGCCCACGCCCACACCCACACCCACACCCACTTTCACGCCCACGCCCACACCCAAACCCACACCCGCACCCGCACCCACACCCTCACCCACACCCAGACCCACACCCACACCCACACCACCACACACACATTGGGCTACTGCATAGGCATCGTTGTATCAGCGCCCCCCCTCCCTCCTGTCCTCACTCCATCCTCTCTGTCCTCGTCCTTCCCTTCCTCCTCCTCATCCTCCCCCTCCTCCTCCTCCTCCTCCTCCTCCTCCTCCTCCTCCTCCTCATCCATATCGTTCTCACGTGTGTCCTCCCTTGCTCCTTCCCCCCCCCCACCTTCCAGCCTGGCACACCCCCCTTCCTCCTCCCGTAGCCCGGGCTCCCCGCAGCGCGCAGGAGCGGCGGAGCCGCGGCCAGTCCGCGCCACCCCCGCGGAGAGCCAGCGGCAGCGGAGCGCGAGCCCGGGCCCCCGCCTCCGCCGCCGGCCCCCGGCGCTGGCCATGCCGGCCGCGGCGCGGAGGGGGAGCAGCCGCGGGCTGCAGGCGGCCCGGCCCTCGCGGCCAGGGAAGGCCCTGAGTCAGGAGGGGACGAAACACACAGACACAATCAATCCTCCACTCCCAGAAAATATGGGAAAATATGGGAAGTGGGGGGGAAGACAGAAACCCAGAAAATATGGGAAAATATAGGGAATATTTTTATTTGTGTGTATTTATTTGTGTGTTTGTGGGCCCCTTCAGGAGCCTCTTCCTGCCGCTGCCTTCTAGCAGGGGCGTGCTGTCGTGCTCCCTCCTGTGGGCCAGGCCGCACAGGAGGGGGGCATGGGGAACGGGGGGCTGACGAAATCGGCTGCCTGCAGCTGGGCAGCTGGCTTCGGCCCCGCCGCCGGGCCCATTCCTCGATGCAAGGGCGCCTCGCGGCGCCGGGAGGCGCTGGGGAAATCAGCTACGTGAGCTGATTCTCTACCTTGCCTTTTGCTATCCCCCCCCCCCTTCGTTCCTCCCGAATGGAGGTGATGCCGTGCGCCGACGGTTGCCTGCTGGGACCGTCGCTGGCGCACCCCAGTCGTGGGATGCCTAGGCCGTCAGTGAGGGGGTGGCCCCAAGTCTTCTACGACCATTCGGCTTTGGCCGCAGAGGAGCTCCAGCACCACCACATCCTTCTCCTTCTCCGTTTCCTTCTCCTTCTAGTTTGTCGGATGGATTTCTCAGGCCTTCCTCCGCCTTAAGCGGTATGCGTTCAGAGCAGGAATTCATCGGAACCACAGGGCATTGACAGTGTACCTCCATTTATCCCCGTCCCATCCCACTCTCTCCCTTCTTTCCCTTCTTCCCAACCCCACCGCAGCGCGCCTCGCGCCAAGCCCGCCTTCGTGGATACGTCCCGTTTTCTCGACTGGTTTGAAACGCGTTGGTCAGCAAGCATGTCAGGGTGAAAATCTGCCGAGTTGGTTGATATGCCCAAGTTGCGCAGGGTTCCCCGTGAACATTATGTGCATCTCCCCGGGGGGGCTCTACGGTTCCCAGTCTGCTTAAGCCAGATCCACCTCCGTGACCTGACCAAAGAGTGCACCCTTCCAGCCAAGACTGCGTATGAAGGAGCACCTCCATCGTAAAGAGAGAGAGAGAGAGAGAGAGCGAGAGCGAGAGAGCGCGAGACTTGGCCTGAGGTGCTTGGCAAAGCTGAGCAGGCCGCAGGGCTTAGCGGACACAGGCTCGCTCCGCGACCACCCCTCCCCTCTCGTGCCCCCCTTAGGGGCCCGCGGCAGAAGAACGAGAGGCCGCGGGCGGGAGGTGCCCAGGCCCTCGAGGGGGCGCCGTGGCTTCGGGGGTGCCTGACGCATTCGGCTGTCACGGTTCGAGTGGATCTCGATACTGTTCCCACATCTTCGGCCAAAGTCGTCGTAGTCGTCGGCGTCTCTCTCGGCGTCGTCTTCCACGCGACTTCGCTGACACTCAGATAGTGCAAACGACAGTGCCTGCCTTCTGCCGAAGCGTGCCATCACTATGAGATGCACATCTGGGGATCTGCGCATCGAGTGACGGATCGTCGGCTTGGACGTTCTTGCGAGGCTTCGCCGTGGCGTCCGAATGTTTGGAGGAGTGTTTCGAAGAACCCCTCTGGACCTCCACTGGCCCCCAGGGGCATCGGGGAGGAATTTCTCCGAGGGATCGCCGGGCCGCCAGGAAGGAGGCGGGATCAGGGAGTCCTCTCGCCTCGACGAGCCCCTGCCTGCGAGGGTGCCCGCCTCGGGGAGCCGCCCGGGCGACCGAAGCACGCGTGCAGCGCGGGGACCCCGGTGCTGGCCGGCGGGGCCTCCGCCCGCGAGCCGAGTGAGCCTCGGCCGGCCTAACCGGCGAGGCGCCGCGTGCTCGACGGCGGCGGCCGGCCGGGGGCAGCGTGCGGGCGGGGCGGGCTCGGCGGGGGGAGGCAGCGGCCCCCGGCAGCGCCCTCGGAGCGCCGACGGGGGCCCGAGGGCCCACCCCGCCCGCGACCGCACAGAGGCCCTAATTACGGGGGGCCTGCCGCCGAGCCGTCGGTGATGTCGCCTCGCCGCTGGCGGGGCGAGGTGCCCCCCGCTCCCCCCATGAGCCTGGTCTCGCCACCTACCAAACCACCCCAACCCAACCCGAAGGCCTCAATTTGCCCTCCATTTCCAGTGGGGGGGGGGGGTCGGGGAACCTTGAAAAAACACATGGGACCCGTACCCCCCCCAACCCGAAATTGGGGTCTTCGGGTTGGGTTGGGGTGGTCTGGAAGGTAGTCATGGTCCCCCCCGTGGCGTTGCGCCTCGCACGGGGCCCCCCGCCGCCTCCGTGCGGCCGGGCCAGCGCTGGGCGGGCGCCGGCCGGCACCGCGCAGCCCGGGCCCCGGCGCCGGCGCCCGGCGGGGGGTGCGCGGTGGCGGCGTGGGGCGTGGAGATGGTCGCGCCTTGCTAAAACAGGGCTAGGATCGGGATAAATCGCTCCAGAGCGTTCCAGAGCGCTCTCAGAGCGTTCTGGAGCGCTCTGGAGCGGCCGCGGCGCCCAATGCGTCCTCCAAACCCGCCGATTCTCAGAGATTTCGAGTCATCCCGATCCGATGTTGTCCCGATCTTCGCATCGTTTTACTTGCGCCTCGCGGCCCGGGTTGGAGAGCCCGCTCAGAATCGATGCATGGGCCCCTCCTTGGGTGCATCCTGCCCCGTTGTTCTGGGCGGGCACAAGGCGTGGCGGAGAGAAGCCTCCAGGCAGGAGGCCCAGTAGAGACGGAACGAGGCCAGCCAGTGAGGCCTGCCGTTGTCTCTCGGAGTTCCGCAGATGTCGGTCACAGAGGAAGGAGGAGAAGGCTGAACTACACAACAGTCGGACAAACAGCAGGATCTGGATCACGAGCGGGAGCGGGAGGAGGACCCGCAGCAGCAGGAGCACCAGCGAGACCTGAAGCGGGAAGTGAGGAGCATATCGGCGATCAGAAGGAGGAGCAGGACCATGACTGGGCTGGGAGGTGGAGGAGGAGGAGGAGGAGGAGGAGGAGGAGGAGGAAGTGGAAGAGGAGGATGAGCAGGAGGAGGACGAGGAGGAGGAGCATGATGATCAGGATGAGCGTGATGTGGGGGGGGAACCGACGTGGTGGAGGCGGGCGGGAGGGCGAGGAGCAGAACGAGGGGCAGCAGCAGCAGCAGCAGCAGCAGCAGCAGAAGGAAGAGGCCGAAGCCTGGAGACCAGATGTATCTCTGTCGGACGGGGCTGGGGCGAGGATACATCCGTTCCAGAGCGTTCCGGAACGCTCTGGGAAGGCCGCGGTGCCCGTGATATCTTCCAGAACCGCGGGATCTCGGAGATTCTCGATTTGCCCTCACCCGATTCTTGGTAGTCCCCAAACGTGGTGGTGACAACACCTGGCGGTGAGTCTCGGGCGATTTGGTGTCACCACCCGGTTTGGGGACTCGTGCGGTTTTCCGAGGATGTCGCGAACGCTGGTGGGTCCAGGAGTCACAAAACCCGGCGGTGACCCCGCGTCCCCAAACCCAGCGGTGACTTTTTGGGGGATTCCAGGTCGCCACCTGGTATCTCACCACCCGGTTTGGGGGTTCCCAAGTCCTCGTCCTAGCTTCCTCGATCTCTGCGCCGTCCCTGGCAGGCGGCGCTGCTCGCGGTGGCCACCGGCGCGGCGCTGCTGGGCATCGGCCCGGCGGGCTCCGCCTCCTTTGCGGCGCCCGCCCGAGGGCGGGGGCCCCGGTGCGGAGCGGCGGCGGCGGTCGCAGGTGGTCACTGGAGGGGGAGGTATACTCCAGATTTCGTAATAAAAGGGAGGGGGTCTCAACCCTCCCAGACGAGAAGTTTTAGACCCCCCCCCGTGGGAGAACCCTCCAAAACATCGTCCCCAGACCCCCCCAGGCCCTCCAAGATAGCCTGGAAGAGACCCCCCCCGAAATGAGACCCCCTCCCTTTTATTACGAAATCTGGAGTACCCATACCGCCCTCCTGGATGGGGTCCGAGCGGAAGGGGTCGGAGGATCGGGCCGCATCGCCGATGCATCGGCGGTGCGGCTCGATGTGGAGACCGTGTTGACCCACGCCGACGTCGCCGATGCACTGCCGACGTCGCCGGTGCATCGCTGATGCATCGGCGATGTATCGCCGATGTGTCGCCGATGCGGGGCCATCCTCCGACCCCATTTACTCCTACCCCATCTAGGAGAGGAAGATGTACCCATACCGCTACCATTGCCTCGATTTCGCCTTTGTGGGGCTCCTGGGTGGCCCTCGTCGCCACGGGTGGATTCGCCTTGAGATTCTGGTCAGAACGCAGTCCGGGAGAGGTCGGGGGTGTAGCGGTAGGTAGCTGTACCTGCTGGTTTCTACAGAGGCGGCGGCGAACGCAGGTGGGGAATCAAAGGTTGCAGGAAGGATGGCGAAAAAGGTGCACGTTTCTTCACCCGACTTCTACGGTCCCCCCGTCGACGAGCCCCCGAGCAGAGGCAGGAATCGAGTGAGAGGCGTTGGCACGAACGTCATTGTTCGGGAGTGCCGAAGTGTGAGCTGTATGTGCATGTTTGTAGTTCTAGGGCAGATTCTAGGGGAGAAAGGGGGGCGAGGCCAGGGATGGAGCCCGGGAGCCAGGGATGGGTCCGGAAGCAGGCAGGGGGGGTCCGGGGCAGGGGGGCCAACGGCAGGCTGCAGGAGCCGCAGCGGCGGGCGTCGGCAGCAGCAATGGGCGCCACACCGCGCGAGGCGGCGGCAAAGTGTGGGGGAGGCGGAGGGTCAGAGGAGAAAGAGGTACCCATACCTCTACCCTTCGCCCGACTTCTCCTTGTTGGGCCTCTTGGGAGGCCCTCGTCGCCACCGCTGGATTCGCCTCGGAATCGTGGTCAGAACGCACCCCAGGGGAGGTCTGGGGAGCAGCGGTATCGGTACCTTTAGGTGTCCCCAGAGGGCGAGTTTGGCGGGGGAGGGAGGACGGAGGGGTCAGAAATTCAGGACGGACAAGGGAAGAGCAGAGGAGGAGGAGGAGGAGGAGGAGGAGGAAGAAGGAGCCCAAAACGGATTCAGGCCCAAAAACGGGGAGAGTGTGAGAGAGAGAGAGAGTTTGAGAAACACGCAAATGAGAGGGGAGAGAGAGGAGATAGGCAAGCTGAGTGCGCTCGCGCCTCATCTGATATTGTATCTCTCGATCCCATCCCTTCCCATGGCGCTGATTTTCTATATCCGCGGACGCGTGTCTTAGCCGACGCGCGACTCCCACAGAAAAACCATTCCGTGTTATGCGCAATCGGAACAAGTGGAGTTGCATGCACAGGAAGAGGAGAGGGTGGTGGATTAGCAGGAAGTGTAGCGGGAGGAAAAGGACGAGGACAAATAACAGCAGCAGGAATTAAAGCGGATGGATCGGGAGGACCAGTGGAAGGCGGAGGAGGGGATTTGAGGGGGGCGGCAATGATGAAGACATATTCGACTTCAGAAAAGTTGCCCGTGCTGGGGCAGGACGAACAGCAGCAACAGGAACTGGAGTGGAAAGAGCGGGAGGAACATGAGGACCAGGGGAAGGTTCAGGACGGGAAATGAGGGAGGACCATACCGAAGCAAGATTCGGATCCAGAAAAGTGGCCCGCGCTGGTGCGAGAGCGCCATTTTGAACGACGGGAGCAAAGTGCTGATCCGCAAACAATTCCCAGGCTGCAACGGGAACAACAGTTTGAATCATCGAGGACAATCGGATTGTAACACAAAATTTGATACATGCATTTTATTGTTCTTGTTTTGAAATCCTGTGCATTTGGAAAATAACAGCACGCGGAGGGGCGGGAGATCTTCTGGACAAGCTCAGGGCAGGAGGGAGATTGGTAATCATATTGTTCGCATACATGCTTGTTGGGAGGAGGAGGAGGAGGACGAGGACGAGGAGGAGGAGGAGGCCCCGAGGACCCCCTCCACTTCTAAATTTATTCTCGAACAGATTCTCACTCCCAGGGCACACGCTGCGCACAGATTTTGATCGCTGCTTGCACGTCGCATTCAGACATTTGTTCTGTCTTGCAGTACGGCTTTGTCGGGATGCTGCGCAACCTCATGGGCAAAGTCGGCCCCAAAGGGGTGACCGGGGAGGTCCCGAGCAGCTCCCAGGCTCGAAGGTTCCTGGACCGTGCAGGGAAGTCTTCTGCTCAGCGCGGGGGGTCACAGGACGTCGGCCGCCGGGGAGCCTCCGAGCAGCCGCCGAGGGCCACGCGCGCGCGCAAGGTCCGCCCTGCCCCCGCGGCGGCGCGCGGAGCGCAGCGCGAGGCGCGCCTCGGTGCTGCAGGCGGCTCGGGGCGGCTGCCAGAGCGGCCGGGCTCCTGTGCGCTGTCCTTCGCGGGCAGGCTCAAACGACGCGAAGATCCGGGCAAAATCGAATCGGGATAACTCGAAATCTCTGAGAATCGGCGGGTTTGGAGGACGTATTGGGCGACGCGGCCGCTCCAGAGCGTTCCGGAACGTTCCGAGAGCGCTCCGGAACGCTCTGGAGCGATTTATCCCGATCCTAGCCTTGTTTTACAGGTAAGATTCATGCCCGTATCCGCGGCGTCTTGGACTCTGTCGGGCGCCGCGGCGCAGTGGGAATCGATGAAAATCTGCACTCGTGGCTGGATTTTTATCCGCATCCACTGCGCATCGAGAGTCTGGGGCAGGGGCGGGGTCACGACCATATGCAGGATCCCTTGAGATTCGGAAGGAAGCTTGTTCGTCGTCGCCGACATTGGCACGTGAGTTGCCCGCGTAAGTTAGCGCGTCAGCGCCCTCGTTTGCAATATGGCGTGCCGCGCTGGTTGCCCGCGTAAGCCGCGAATTCAGGTTGCCATGGCATCTTCTGTAAGACCCCTTTCTTTTCTTCGCTCACTTGCGCTCCGATGGGTCCGGTTCGATATCAATCTGGTCTGGCCCGATCCCATTCGATTATGATATTATGATGTTTCGATGGTCCGATGTGGCTTGGTGGTTGCACCGGCGCTGTTGCTCATCCAGGCGCGGCCGAAGCGATTCGATTCCGATTCCTGGCCGACTGCAGCCCGCTCCGACGCGCATGTCGTTTCGATCCGATCCGCTGGCTCGATGCCGCCTGATGTTGCAGGGGTGCTGCGCTGGCGACTGCGCCTTCCCGCGCAGGAGAGAAAGGGCACACCAGCGTGAGGCGTTCGGCAGGTCGCGGGCGCTGTACTTCGAGCGACGGCCCGCATACCTCGGTGCGTGTTCGGGGGCAACGCTTAAGGGGGGGATTGGCTCAGGGGGGATGCATCGACCCCCCGCGCGCCCCCTGATCGCTGGCATGGGCCTTCTAGCCCGACCGTTCGGACTCGATGTCAGGGGCCTATCGCCGATCTGTCGGCGATGTACCCCCCCCCCCCGGTGCCAGTACCCCCCCCCGCATCGTCGTCCCTCTGCAGTTGTGTCCATCGAGGCTCCCAGTCCCCTCCCTCGAGGAGCGAGGTTCGAAGGAGGGGGAGGGGGAGGAGGAGGGGGGGGAGGAGGACGAGGAGGAGGGGGAGGAGGAGGAGGAGGAGGAGGAGGAGGAGGAGGAGGAGGAGGGGGAGGAGGGGGAGGAGGAGGAGGAGGAGGAGGAGGAGGAGGAGGAGGAGGAGGAGGAGGAGGAGGAGGAGGAGGAGGACGAGGACGAGGACGAGGACGAGGAGGAGGACGAGGACGAGGACGAGGAGGAGGAGGAGGCGGAGCCCCCGCAGGAGCGCGAAGGGGCTCGCGCTGCCGCGCGTCGCAGTCTGGGCCGGAGGGCTGCTCGCCTCGCCAGGGAGGACGGCGCCAGGGCTCGAGGCGCCGCGGCTTTGGCGGCACGCCGCGCAGCGCGTGGCGCGGCGACCCGGGGGCTTCTCGGGTCGGGCGAAAGGGGGGGGATAGCAAAGGGGGGGTTTGACAATCAGCTCACGTAGCTGATTTCCCCGGCGCCGGGAGGCGCCCATGTATCGAGGAATGGGCCCCTCGGTGAGGCCGAAACCAGCTGCATGCAGCAAATTTCGTAACCCCCCCTTTCCCAATCCCCCCCTTTCGCCCGGCCCGAGCTTCTCGGCATGTGCCGCCTCGGGAGGTTGCCGGGCAGCTCTCCGAGAGCTGAGCGGGCTTCAGGTTGGAAGCCAGCAGCACAGGGTCTCAGGAGCGACAGGAGGACGTACACGTACATGAATCCACGCTGGTTTCGAGAGTACGCATTGCGCAAGTGCTCGCATAACGCGGCCGGTC